TGGACACTGCGTTTTATAATATTTATATTTGGACACTGCGTTTATATAAATTTTTTTTTTTTATGACACTGCGTTTATATTATTATATGTACTTGATTCATTTGATTTATACCTTTTATACATAGTTTATTTAGTTTAGCACTTGTTTGCTTTGGCTATAGGGTGAGCATATTGAGGTATTATCATTTATTACACTTTCAAGGGTGAAAGTAAGATTTATATGCTTTCATGGGATAGGTTTATATGTTTATTTGAGATACTGTCTTGATTCAGACCAACTGTCTGCAGAGTCAATAGCTAAAGACTTCCAAACTTCGTGCGGCCTTCAAGATTAGCAAAACTACAGTTCATAGAGAGCTTCATGGAATGGGTTTCCATGGCCGAGCAGCTGCATCCAAGCCTTACATCACCAAGTGCAATACAAACTGTTGGATGCAGTAGTGTAAAGCATGCCGCCACTGGACTCTAGAGCAGTGGAGACGTGCTCTCTCTAGTGACGAATCACACTTCTCTGTCTGGCAATCTGATGGACGTGTCTGGGTTTGGTGGTTGCAAGGAGAACGGTACTTGCCTGACTGCGTTGTGCCAAGTGTAAAGGTTTATCCATGTTATGGATATGTTCCAGGAAGATGTCTACAGATCAAATACCTTCCAATCATGTGTTTTACCTACCTGTATGTGTACAAAAATTAATGCCATTAAATATTTTCTTTTTTTTTTTTTATTGTGAATCCCTAACGGCTAAAGGAGTTTTTGAGAGATACTTTGTGATCCTCATCTTTGGCTGGTCCTACTTATATTTTTTTAACATACACCAAAGCACACTCTAATTCACATCCTATCAAATGCCCTGTGCAAGAAGATGACAGCCAAACCAAAACGCAAACCAAACTAAAACACAAACATTTTGTTCAATAAAGCAAAACTCATCCACAGAGAAGACTTCTAAACTGGGATATTCAGTTCATGAAATGATTTACTTAAAGTGCAAAGCAGAAAAGTAGGTACAAATTAAAGTGCATAATTATCCAAAACAAAATGCATTGTTTCCAGTCAGCAAACAGGATCTTTTTCCAGCATGAAGTACAAAGAATGAATTTCTAAATCACCCGTTAAATAGTCACAGCTATCACCAAACACCAATCATTTAAAAAAATCTGCCACTGCGTTGTTTCAATGGGAAACGATCTGACAACTACAGTACGTGATGACTAATATTGGGTGGTTTTTTTGTAAAAGAAACATTCAATCTTCATAGATTAGGAGTAGACATGGTCACTATACTTTGTACCTTAAAGCCTAGTACACACAATGAGAAAATTGGAGGAATAAAAACCGTTTTTGGAGCAATTGTCAGATAATCCGCACATTAGTATACAGCTTTTGGGAGCTGATCACAACAGTTCATGTAAAATTATCCAAATGGACAAGCACAAAAATGTTTCTCATAAGATAACAGAACTAACAATGTTCGTCTAATTGGTACAGAATTCATGCATATAAATCAAGAGACCAAGGCCACAAATGCTCAAAAATGAACTTATACTTTACAATACAATAATATACATTGCATCATTGCAGGAAGTTGTATGCTGTCTTACATGACTTTTTGTAACTCTAGTAACCTATTAGTTTTCGATATGAGACTAGCGTCCAAAAAAAAATAGATAATTTGTCTGATATTCTCATCATGTGTACAAAGCTTAAGTCATGTTGTTATTTATTGATTATTTAGAGTCATGTGATTTACTATATCAATAATATATCATATGTAAACTTTTTTTTCATTAGATGCACTTTCTATTATATGAAAATATTTTTCTAGATTATTGTACAGATCGCTGGCCATTACGGCCAGATGTCAGATGATAGCTGGCCATTACATCTAGATGGCAGATAGGTTGCGCCAGCATTGTGTTTATATACCTTCTCACTGGCCACATTAATAGTATTCAATTCCTCATCAAGTGTGTATTTAGTAATATGAGGGTGGAGCATGTCTTGCGTCATTACACTATTGTTCGAAATAGTATTATTCAGTTCCTCATCAGGACCACTTTCAGCATGAGGACAGTCAAGCCTACATTGTTCACATCTTATTACTTTGTTGCCTTGAACAGCAAATGGGTGGGCATAAAGAGCTTTGCTACCTTACCTTGTTGTGATTCCAATCAGGTAGTCTTCAGCATCTAGTAGAGGAGATATCATTATTTGTTTATTACAACCCAGTTGTTTTCTGGCATTTTATGATGTTGTTATCTGTTTAACTATTGTTTTCTGATGCAGGTTTATTTTTAGATCAGCAATTAAACATTACGCTTCATATAGTTTCATGGAGAGTGAGCATATTTCGCGTTAATATGTGTATAGACAGTAGTTCTCCATTAGGTCCACTTGGTATCAGGTGATTTCAGATCCTCCCATTAGGTCTTTACGAATGTAAATTATAAACATTTTTTTAAATGATTGCTGTTTACTGATAGTTTTCACCACTAAGGGGGTGATTGTAATATTCATTATTTGTACTCCAAGATCCTAAAAGAGTCTGATAGTTTTCACCACTAACGGGGTGATTGTGATATTCATTATTTGTACTCCAAGATCCTAAAAGAGTCTGGTGATTTGCAAGGTTGTATTTCTTTATAATGGATTATACACTTTAACAGCTGCTTTTTTCTGTTTTGCACTTTAAATAAATTGTTACATGGACTGAGTATCCCAGTTTAGAAGTCCTCTGTGCCCATGATGTCTAATTATATTTTCTGGCAGGGGCACCAATTAGCATATATATAACTCTAGAGGTTTGACAATTAATTTACCGTAACCACAAAAGAAGCTTCCAAGAATGTCCTTGTCTCTAGTTTCAAAATGTCCTTGTACCTAGTTTTGAAATGGAGAATTATTCGAAGTATATCTTGGCTCTCCTAGCTATGTGTGCTGGCGTAGGTGTGGTAACTTTTTTACCCACATCTATAAGATGGATTTTGTATCTAACCATTGATTATTGCCTTTAGTGTTTGATTCCAGTCTTTCCAAGCAGTTTTTGCAGACTGTTGGCTATCAGAGGGAACACACCATAAAGGTAGCTCAATCCTTAAATCTAGGACACTAACTTGGTTCCTGAAAATATTGGTCGTTGATAAAACTTTAGACTGGTTGTTATTTTGTTCCTTGATAGACACCTTTCATAATAAAGTCAAGGGGCCCTGCATCAGGAAAAAATATGTCATCAATGTATTGAAACCAAAAAATAGGTAATTAATTTGTGTCTCCTAAAAAAAATTGGCTACTCCCCCACCTCTCTAAACAAAGGTTTCTATAAGAGTTTGAACATTTTGCTCCCATCAGCATATCCAAATATTGTAAACAAAAAGCACAGTTGAACATTAAGAACTTTTGCACATGAGTGCCAAAAATGCATTTTTACTGATCTGATTACAGCATATTGCTTTCACTGGGTCGGCACACACATGTGCGCAAATATCAGTAAACTAACGCTGCATTCAGTAACAAAAAACATAGAGCCCTAAAAAAAAAAAATGCAACTTAAAGCATTTTATGTTCATGGATCTGAATAAAAGAGTATTGTTTTCAATAAGGGCTTACTCACAGATGCATACAAATATGCTGAATTCAGGCTTATAACCAAAAACACAAAAAAGTGCATCTGAGAACATCCATGTTACATGCAAATGCATGTAAACGTATGTATAGGCTCATACACAGATGCAACAAGTGCACTCTGAAATTGAAAACAGAGCAAGAGGTGATAGCACTAGAATTTTATACATTTAAACACATACGTGTCCTTACACATTTAAGCACAAGCATTTTACTGATCATTTATGTGCCAGAAAAACTATGCCTTTGTGTACCCGCGAATACACACGTATATCACACCTCCCCCTTAAATAGTATGTTATAGGAATTTTTATGCATGAATACGCATATAAGCACATACACATTAGGGCAGCTAAAAAGAATTACTAATCTTTTCATGAGACATATAACAGCATTAACCTGTAATACCGCGTAAGTACAGCAGGAAAAGGATGGGCTTTAACACCGACACACCGCACATGCATCAATAGGTGGCTTATGGTTCTGTGCAGAGAATGAGCTAACTGCACGCTCCCAGCACAGAGATCAAGCTGTCAAAGTCAGCTGTCGGTCAGGGTTAACGATCGGTAACCAGTGGGACTGGCTCCCAATCATGTGACCACTGTGACAGCCATTTACAGCCATTTACATATGATTGCTGAATCCTTCTCACCTCCTGGGTGTTCAGAATTTTTTTTTTAAACGAACACTAGAGCAGGCAGGAAGGAGTTAAAAACTGCTTAATTAGCTGTTGCCTTTTGATCACATACATCTGGAGGACAGTTTTTCTGTAACTAACGTAAAAGTAAACATTGAAAGATCTTCAAATTAATTAATAGTTGTTTAATTATAGATTTCATTGCCAACTGATTGTTCCAAGGTTTGCATAGTCAGTAGTCTAAAACACTTTTCTAAAAACAGGTGTCAGAAAATATATGCAATTCAACAAATCCACATATATAAATTTAGGCAGCTACATAAAGGTAATCTTCTGAACAGTAGTCTGTATAAACATCTGTACAATTACAAAAATGACGATGTTTAAAGCAGGTCCCTGTACATATTAGTGTTTTTTTTTTCTGTACTCTATTAAAATTTCCTAACATGAATTTAATTGCTACCCCCAAAAAGTTTTCACATATCATTGACATCAATAATCTTTCTTTTGACAATTTACAAATATACACAATATTTATATATTATTTTCAGACAAGTTCAGTGCAAAGATATACATATAGTACATTGTGATAATTGTTCATAAAAATAAGAATTGGCATATCTGAAAAAAAAGGCAAAACATCACTTATCAGCTAAAAACAAAATACTCTGTAACGAGATGAACGTTGTTGACCAATATAAAAAACATGTGCAAGAAAGTGACATTGAAGAACAACAATGAGTTATACATCTGAGTCTTCCTTGACGAGGTTGGCAGTGTCTATAAAAGTGTCCTCTGTTGGAGAGAAGGCCGTTTGATGTGGCTCCTTTTTATGTGATGGCTTGGTAGGTGGTGGAGGCGCGAATGGAGATTGGTCTTCTTCGGTCTCCTGTTGTTGCTCTTTTTCCATCTAAAAGCATTAAAAAAGGCACATTACAGAGGAGATGCTGTCTAAAGAAACTTTTGTTTTATAGTTCAAAAAGGCATTGCAGTTTAGTTTTCTAAATGCAATTTTGTGAGGTTGATTTACTTAAGACAAAAAGGCTATTCGCTTTGCAAAGAAAGTTGACCTTTCAAGGGACTATGGCCCACAGCTTAAAGAATACGTCAAAATAAGATTTTGTATTCCTAATACATACCTGCTGTACTATGGACTTGTATAAAAAAGTATCATGTCCTCATTGTATTGCTTCCTTTGTGTGAATTCCCTGATGTCCCTGCCAGTCTCTCTGCTTTCCTATTAATAACTGACCACACTAGGCAGGAGAGCACAGCGTGGTCAGTTCTCTAGCTCTCTGCTGAAAACTCAGTCTGCTCTCCTCCAATAGTCAGGCTTCTGCTGACATGCTGCCCCCCCCCCTCCCCATTCAGGCACAGCCATTCACTGAGAAAACCAGTGTAATGTTGTTTCTACTCCACCACCTCTCTATGCAGCTTAGAACAGAGAGTATGTGATCACTTATAAAAAAGGGAAAAAGGATTTTTGTATTTTTTTTTATATCTACACACAATTCTTTTGCCTATCATTTCTATTTGAAACTGAATGGGTTGTTTTACAAGGTGAGGGCTTACATATTCTTTAATAAATGCGGTGAATTTCCGCTTTACAAAAAATACTCAATCATGTGCATGGAAAATTTAAAAAAACAGAATTTTTGCTTGCACATGAATGAATGATGAAGATCAGTAAAGCATTATCTCATTCACTATGCTCTATTGCAATGTCCCATTGCAAAATGCAACATCCCTTGTAAAGTGAACAGTTTATTTGTCTTCAGTAAAATGCAACCCCAGTATCATAGGAAGCCTGTTGATATGGTAGTCAATTGATCTCCTAAACCAGACACCCAGGATGTTGTTGTCTGTGCTAGCTGTTCTGAAAGATCATCGGAGGTCAGTGGGTGCCTGTACCTGTCCCCAGGTAGTACACAAGCATGTGTTAAAAATGGGCCTAAATTCAAAACTCAAGTTGCTTTGTTATATAGGGAGCATATAGAAATGTGTTTTTGCCTAAGCAGTACCCTGAAACATTGACATTTTACCTGGAATACCTCCTAATAAATGGCAGAGAGCTTTCTGTCTCCAGGTACACCTGTGCCCAAAGCCTTATAGCTTTATATTTACAGTGTCAGATCTAAAGCACTGTGTCTGAGAAAGGTGTCTCATTATTTAGATTGACATTTGGTGATGTCCCTATTGTGCTGATCTACTACCAAATAAACATACCCCACCACCTTCACTTTCACCTTAATATTTAATTTAACACCAGTTGTGTCCAATCAAGACCAGACACAGTACAGGTACACTAGTAAATACAGTTATTCAACAAATGAGAAAGAACACTGTATACCTGCACTCATAGGGACAATTTTATTTAGAGAAAGTTTGCTCACACTCAATTACCAGAAGCACCCATTATTGCAACTAACCATGCAACTTTTCTTTTTTTTTCAAGCTAAGAACACTTTAAGCAAATACAGAAAATACTTTGATCCTTGTCACATTCTGTGAGCTGCGCCAAAGAATATCGATCTTCTTAGCTATCTTCTGTAAACTACCATTTGCTGTACAGTAATGGAAATTAGGAGATAAGGACATTTTTGTATAATGGAGAGAGCCATATAAGGAGAGCCACCTAGAGTGATAACTATGGCTCCCTCCATAGCTTCTGTGAGCAATTTATTTCTCCCAAATTAAATTATATATGTGAGTGCAGGAACATAGGGTTCTCCTTTCATTTTTGTTTGGATAACTGTTCACCGTTCTCCTTGCTGGAGAGAAAGAGGTATTTGAGGACCTGCAGTACAAGGATCTCCCTGCTTCTGCTTTATTCTTTCTTTTGTTTTGTGCTTCATGTACCCCTCCTGCTACTGTTTGATTATTCCTCCTTCAGTCATCAGACATCAGATCAGACCACCAGTCATCAGAAAGTAGACCTGAGCTGAACCAAGAGGGCCACCTCCAAACACAGACACGGTGTTGAACTAAGTATGGTAGGTCAGTAATTAATAAAACTTAAACTTACCCCATCCTTCTGCCTTTCACTGTCTAACTAGATAGTATACAATGCAAAATCACTCCCACAACTCATTATCCCCTGCTGCCTCTCACCCTGTAACTAGCCAAGTCAAATTACCTGGAACTCACACATCTATTCCCTCTTTCTGCCACTCACCCTATGACCATAAAGTGTAAAAAACCCATTAAAAATCACTCAGCTCAGCCCTCATGCTAATTTTCAACCCATGACCTGCTAGGATACTGTATAATACTGAGACTGAATGTTTTTACAGATTTTTATATATTGTAATATGTTCAGATTCTATTCATGCAGGTATATAAAGTTATTGATAGGTTTGCTGAAAGGAAAATTTGCAGTTTTCTGTGTATGTGTGTGTGCACATGTGTGTGTGTTCTAAACTTTAACCTTTAGTTTTAAAGGTTACCCTCCTTTTGACCCACCCACATCTCTTTTAAAAGTTCTGAACGCCCCGAGGGCGGGTAGGATTAATGATCATGGAGCCACTGTGATTGGCTGTCACAGTGGTCACATGATCAAGAACCGCTCTTGCTGGCTAGCTGGAGGGGACCAGAGCTGCCTTTGACAATTTGGTCTCTGCTGGGAGTGTGCAGTGAGCGGGCTCTCAGCACAGAAACCTTGGCACCCCAGCATCGCATATGTGCGTCATGTGGGCATTAAATGTGTTAAGTGGGTAGCAATAGGTTAAAAAAAAAAACTTGGTAAATATATTTTATAACTATGTATGCAAACTCCACTTCTTCATTTAAAAAATGTGTACTACTAAATTGACGCTATACTTTCTCTGTAAATACTGTGTGATTTGCCACAATCATGTCTTCCTAGTGGAACTAAGATACAGCTACAGAGGGAGTTCACACTTGCTAGCACAAAAATATCATGCTGTAGACTAAACTTATAAACTCTCACTTCCAGGAACAAATTAATTCAACTCGTCACAGAAAAAGGAAAGTGCTAGCACTGCATAACAAAGTTTCCAAAAACTTTCCAAAAGAACATTTCTGTCTCTCTATAGTTACGTTCTATTCTTTCACTGCAGTTTTACAAGTGAAAGGGAATATCTCTAAAGGGCACTTCGACAGCAATAACAACATTTATTTAGTGAAGTATGGAAAGGGCAAAAACATGTTTGATTAATTGCTATTTGTGTCCCTTTTGGGGAAATTCCCCTTACTTTCTGCCCGCGTAATGGGTGTCAAACATTAACGAGAAGTAAGGATAAACCCAATTAATAGGGACACAGTCAACAATAAAAAAAAATAGACCGTGACAAAACAGACATATTTTACCCTAATGCATTCTCTGCCTTAAGGTAAAGAAACACCCTACTACCTGTCCTACCCCCCTTTGTCAATAAACAGTTACCTGGCTCTAGCACTGTCTCCAGTTCAAATACTGCTTCCCTCACTTCCTGCTATCACAATAGAGGGCAGAGGAGCCATTCTGTGAGCAGGGAGCTGGAACATAGCTTACTGGTGCTGTGTGTGTCTATAGAGACACACAAACTAGCTCAGGACCCAGCAAAAGCATGCATGCACAGGTCCCTCCTTAGCACTTTGCTTGCTACAGGACGCACCCAAAGGAGTGGTTTGCTGGCAGGTGAGCTGTTAGATGTAACATCTTTTTTATTTAAAAAAATATGCCTTTAGTATCTCTTAAGTTCATTCTTTACCTCTTCCTGCTCACAGTCTGTATGTTACTGTTTCCCCGCACAAAGCCCTAAGCTGGCAGTTCATTAGGAACACAATAATCCGAAAGTCATCAATAAGAGCAACTGGTAGCTCTAAATCCCAGCTGTCACTGACAGTTCTGGTTCTCATTGCAGCCATAGAGTGGCAGTGTTTATCTGTATAATACTGTAATTGTCAGACACAATTGCATCAATAAAAAGTAGAAAAGTTATTTAGTTTGTTTTTACATTGTTCCACATTTGATCATGAATTAGTTAACAAGCACAAAAAAATTTAAAATATTTCACAAGAAATACTTTATAGATGTGTATTACTCTCTGACTAAGTTATCACACACACTCCTCTTTGCATCCAATAAACTCTGTAAAAATCATACTCACCTCTGAGTAGATTGGATTTTCAAAAATTTGTGCTTTGTTTAACCTTCCTCTTGAAGAAATTCCACTTTGATTCCGTCTGTAAAATATTGAACAGTATAAAGATACATTTTGGTTTTAGGTAAAGCCATTCTAAAATGCAACTTTATATATGTACAAAAATGTTATGTTATTGTGATATAGGAAACATTGATAACATTTTTGTTTTGGCATTGGGGAGAAACTAACAAAGCTTCCTTGCCCATTATAATGGAAACTGCCACAAATGGCATGCCAGGTCTATCTGCAACAAATGTGCCAGTTTTTATTTCATAGTGAAAGGGAAACTGGTTTGGGTTTTGTGCCTAATTAACAAAGGCATCGTGGCTGTTTTCCATATAGAAAATTGCTGAAGATCCCCACTAGATTGGACCTGATGTACAGGATGCATCTTCTGATAATCTAGCAGACAGCTCAGATGCCCCTCTCTGCCTGTGTAGTGAACACACTATATCAGTGGTCTCCAAACTATAGCCCTGGGGCCGGATGTGGCCCTTTGCCTGTTTTTATCTGACCCTTGGGCTCTTTTTCCCACCACTGTCAGCAACAGTGGGACATAGTTCCTGCCATTGACACGGACAACAGGGCCCTATTCCTCCAACTCACACCAATGATGGAGCACCATTCCTTCCCACTCACACCAATGATGGAGCACTATTCCTTCCCACTCACACCAATGATGGAGCACTATTCCTTCCCACTCACACCAATGATAGGGCACTTTTCCTCCCACTGACACAAATGATGGGGCACTATTCCTTCTACTGTCACAAATGATGGGGCACCATTCCTCCCACTGATACCAATGATGGGGTACTATTCATCCCACTGATGCCAATGATGGGGCACTATTCCTCCCACTCACACCAATGATGGGGCACTATTCTTCCCACTCACACCAATGATGGGGCACTATTCCTCCCACTCACACCAATGATAGGGCACTATTCCTCCTACTGTCACCAATGATGGGGCACTATTCCTCCCACTGTCACCAATGATGGGGCACTATTCATCCCACTGAGGCCAATGATGGGGCACTAGTCCTCCTACTGTCACCAATGATGGGGCACTATTCATCCCACTGAAGCCAATGATGGGGCATTATTCCTCCCACTGATGCCAATAATGGGAACCTATTCCCCCCAATACCATGTTCTGCTCCCACTGGTCACAGTATGGCCCTCCTAAAGTTTGAAGGACAGTGAACTGGCCCTTTGTGTAGAAAGTTTGGAGACCCCTGCATTATATGACCAGAGCCTGCATGTAGGCAGAGAAAGTTCCTCTGCCTGCCTATATGTCCAGCTGTCAACACTGGCAAATTTAGGGTTTACAGCCTTATTCCTCCCTCTTGTTCAAAGCTTAGCAGGGGATGGGGTAGTCAGAATGAGCCAGAGCAAGCTCTCCTGCTCTCTTTGCTATATGTTTCTTTATAAGTCTCTTCTGCAATAAAAAGTCAGTTGGTAAAATTTAAATTTCTATGTTCCACTGTAAGTTTCTAAGTATTTAAACTGATGATATTTATATATACTATATGTATACATTCTCTGTTTTACAATTAAACATTTTATACACAGCATAAGCTTGATGGAGGAATCCCAACGCACTATGGGTTTTCTATATTGAGCATTATTTATAAAATTGGCTGAAATAAGATCTGGCCGTTTTACTCATATCAACCATGGAGGCAATGAGTACATTTTGTATTAATGGCCACATTTCTGCTTGCAGGAAACAAGACCCAGAATTCTGCTGTGGCACCAGTAAGCAACATTGACTCTTAGGAGCTGATTGGTTGCTCCAGACAATAAGACATTTCAAATACTACTTTCAATAAGGGGCTAATTACATCATAAAAAGAAATGTGTGTGTGCAGTAGGGAATTGTAATAAAAATAAATAAGTCTTGTGCAGTGTCCTAACCTGGGTGGTTTCAGTACTTGCTGTTGTCTGAGGAGTGACAGCTGCGTATAATGGGTTTTCGAAGCTATCAGACTTTTGCACATTGGTGGTTTCAGTCACCTGAAAAAAGAGAAGCAATTAATAGACTGATAGAGCTTTCTAAGCCATTTCCCTCAATTCATCTGGTTTTCAAAGTGGAAAACAAAAGTAGTGGTGAATAATATATAGCAACATGGAAGAAATCAATTGAAATTCTGAAACTATAAAAGAACAATGTTGCATAAGGAATGCTCAGACATGGCATAAAAATTTAATTTATTTAATGAGGTTACATTGTTCCCTGCAATGTATAAGGTTTACAAAGAGTTGTTTTTTTTTTTAACTTTTCCTTTTTTAATTTCAGTTTTTATCATTTAACTTTTAAGTATAAATTGCTTTTAAAGTGTGTATCCACTTTTGCAGCTAAACTGGGATAATACTTACTTTATATTTGGAACATGCTCTCATTTGCATAGCATAAACTAAAAAAATTAAACATTTCTGCCTACCTTGCTCTTTTTGGAAAACTCCAAAAACTGAAGTTTTCCTCTGCTAAGCAGAGCAGGCCCTGCTATGCAGAGGGGGCTGAGAAGTTAAAGTGGCTGCAAGCCTCAGACATGAAATATGAACAAAGCATATCCTTGTCTCACTCCAGACCACCAAGTGTCATTTCTGTCTGCTGCCTCTTTCCTCTGCTATCAATAAGAAGCACTTCTGACAGGTTTTACTGTAACAAGAGAAACAAAGGTGATAGGGGAGAGACTGCCAGCACGCATCCTGTGATTGACAGCCTCAGCTGTGTTCCTGTGTGCTGTGTGAAGGAGGGTATGTCCCTTCCTTCCAATCAGCTCTCACCTCACTGAGCTCTGCAAAGTTTAACTTCAGCTCCTGTCCCCTGTTTTCTGAAATCTGAGACACGCAGTACATATTTGGACTTTCAATGGATGTAGAGAAGAGGGGGCTCAGATAAAAAGGTACAACTTATGTAGGATGATTTGTTTTATCTCTATGTATCACCTGGAGGCCAGTCTTTTCACTGGGTATGTGTAAGGGATTGCAACCATTTTAATGTTTACCAAAATTAACCCTGTCTGTACTGTTATTATCAATTGTATACTAGATTTGAACACTGTTTCTCCTAACAAAGGATTATAGATCTAGAGCCTATGTTTCTGCATTCTATGTTGATGAGAGGAATCTCATTGTGTCCCTATATGCCACTGAGTTTCCTCTCCTTCCAAAACTGTTCAAATTAGCCTGCAGTCTGCCTGCGGCATGTCTCCAATAAACACCTAAAAAAGAGAAGAAATATTTAAAAAAAATCTTTTTAGCTACAGTGGGGCAAAAAAGTATTTAGTCAGCCACCAATTGTGCAAGTTCTCCCACTTAAAAAGATGAGAGAGGCCTGTAATTGATATCACAGGTAGACCTCAACTATGAGAGACAAAATGAGGAAAAAAATCCAGACAATCACATTGGTTGATTTGGAATGAATTTATTTGCAAATTATGGTGGAAAAGAAGTATTTGGTCACCTACAAACAAGCAAGATTTCTGTCTCTCACAGACCTGTACCTTCTTCTTTAAGAGGCTCCTCTGTCCTGCACTCATTACCTGTATCAATGGCACCTGTTTGAACTTGTTATCAGTATAAAAGACACCTGTCCACAACCTCAAACAGTCGCACTCCAAACTCCACTATGGTGAAGACCAAAGAGCTGTCGAAGGACACCAGAAACAAAATTGTAGACCTGCACCAGGCTGGGAAGACTGAATCTGCAATAGGCAAGCAGCTTGATGTGAACAAATCAACTGTGGGAGCAATAATTAGAAAATGGAAGACATAAAAGACCACTGATAATCTCCCTCGATCTGGGGCTCCACGCAAGATCTCACCCTGTGGGGTCAAAATGATCACAAGAACGGTGAGCAAAAATCCCAGGACCACACGGGGGGGGACCTAGTGAATGACCTGCAGAGAGCTGGGACCAACGTAACAAAGGCTACCATCAGTAACACACTACGCCGCCAGGGACTCAGATCCTGCAGTGCCAGACGTGTCCCCCTGCTTAAGCCAGTACATGTCCGGGCCCGTCTGAAGTTTGCTAGAGAGCATTTGGATTATCCAGAAGAGGATTGGGAGAATGTCATATGGTCAGATGAAACCAAAATAGAACTGTTTGGTAGAAACACAACTCGTCGTGTTTGGAGGAGAGAGAATGCTGAGTTGCAACACCATACCTACTGTGAAGCATGGGGGTGGCAACATCATGCTTTGGGACTGTTTCTCCGCAAAGGGACCAGGACAACTGATCCATGTACAGGACAGAATGAATGGGGCCATGTATCGTGAGATTTTGAGTGCAAACCTCCTTCCATCAGCAAGGGCATTGAAGATGAAACGTGGCTGGGTCTTCCAACATGACAATGATCCCAAACATACCGCCCGGGCAACGAAGGAGTGGCTTCGTAAGAAGCATTTCAAGGTCCTGGACTGGCTTAGCCAGTCTCCAGATCTCAACCCCATAGAAAACCTTTGGAGGGAGTTGAAAGTCCGTGTTGCCCAGCGACAGCCCCAAAACATCACTGCTCTAGAGGAGATCTGCATGGAGGATGGGCCAACATACCAGCAACAGTGTGTGCCAACCTTGTGAAGACTTACAGGAAACGTTTGACCTCTGTCATTGCCAACAAAGGATATATAACAAAGTGTTGAGATGAAATTTTGATATTGACCAAATACTTATTTTCCACCATAATTTGCAAATAAATTCTTTCCAAATCAGCCAATGTGATTGTCTGGATTTTCTTTCTCATTTTGTCTCTCATAGTTGAGGTCTACCTATGATGCCAATTACCGGCCTCTCTCATCTTTTTAAGTGGGAGAACTTGCACAATTGGTGGCTGACTAAATACTTTTTTGCCCCACTGTATGTTGTGTGACCATATAGTGAGGTTTTCTCAAATTTGACTGCAAAATAGAAACACGCTCTAAGCCTTTTTTCTAGCCCTCCTGAATAAACCTATGCAAACACTGCCACTCCACTTTCTCACCTGTGTAGAAGAGCCATATCCCAATGAGCTGCTTACGACAGCTCTGGTGGAAATCATTTTGAATGCAGACTCCCACCTTGTATGGGGCTTTATACACTTGTATGGGGCTGCAGCAAGAGCAGCCCTAGAACCAGGGGCGGACTGACAACTCATGGGGCCCCCGGGCAATAGGGGATCATGGGGTCCCTGTGTCCTTGTCCACACTCAAAAAAGCCTATAAAAAAGGTACCAAGGGCATTTCATGGGGCCCCCTACTGACCCAGTGCCCGAGTGCTTGAATGGTCAGTCTGCCCCTGCCTAGGACTAATGTAAACCTGGTGCAGCAGCAAGTAAGAAGCTAAAGTTGAGCTATTAGTGTAGATTTATGTAATGGAAGTCTTTAAGGTAGAATCAACAAAACCGTTTTTATTCTAGATTTGGACAGAGTGCACAACATTAATAGAACAATAGAAAGTCTCATGGGTGAGGTCAAGACTGACTTTATTATTAAATAGCTGTCAGCTTACATCTGGTGGCTGTGTTATGGTCACAATGCTGACACCTCCTTCCCTGGTGTCAGAATACATCGGATTCTCATACGTAATCGGTTCCTTCCCAGCATCCAGTGTGAAGGTTGGACTCTAAAAAAACAAGCACCATGAACATGCATTAAATAAACGAGGAAGTAATTCAGCTTTTCTTGCCTTGGGATTTTAAATGGTTAACCCACTCAAAATTGACATTTTATTTTTTCAGTGGTTCCTGGACAGTTAAACTACCTTACAGTTTATTATATTTCTCAGGCATTCTATTGGTGAGACACCTGTGTTTGAGTTTTGGATCTGCATACCTACTGCAACCATTATAAGAGGTTCCCGTTCTCCCTGTTGGATCCTTTATTTTTCTATATAATGGTGAATGTGATGCAAGATCCTAGAACATGGAAGGATGAGTGGGAACAGAGTAGGAATTATGGCAAGGAGACCTCACTCAAGAGGTATCCAAGACATACAGAAAGCTATGGACTTGCTTGACCCACTAGGCTCCAACTATAATTAAAATATCACTTTTCGGTGTACTGGTCCCTCAGGTTAGGCAACTGCAATACTTTGTTTTAGCTAGATACAAGCTGACTCATCATAACATACATAACAGGGCCTGGACACAACTAGTTATAGTTGTTTTAAACACCTTGTAGTGTTTTTTTCCATAATAGATAATAGAATATAATGAAAAAAATGTACCATTTGCATTGCTCTATCTATGGAAGATTCTGCACCAAATCCAGACACTCCAATGTCCATAGTGACATCAGCTCCAGATCTGAACGTCACACCATTGCCGTTTTCTGTAGATTTCACCAGTGCACTAAGACTGTAATAATGAAGGATATGGTTATTAAAGTATTTGGTGAAGCAAATGACAAGTCACTGATGATTAAAGAGACCCTGTCACCACATCTTAGAATCAAAATGAAACATAAGCTGGTAACCTGTATTGGTTGTAGTTACAGAAGTTTGGGTTACTGCACCAGTTTAAAACGAATAAGCAGAAGTATCAGCCCACCATTCAGCATGAAAATCAACACTTCTATGGCTTTCAGATTGTGAGTCTTTTTGGGCTGCCCAAAGCACCTCTTATTTACATTCAATACAGATTTTTAGTCTGGGTTTAGTTGTAAGGCTGAGATGTGGCAACAGGGCCTCTTTAAAAGGGATACCATTATCAACAAAATGCAGATATACAAAATGTTTGTCAGTTTACATATTACACAGGAGGCTTTACTAAATATGCATGCAAAAACAGCACATATACAGGGTATATGTATAGAGCCCTCAAATATAAAACATTGCGAGTAAGACCACATTGTTATTTTCATGATGTAAAGTTGTAGTAAAGTTAGAGCTTCTCTCAGGTTTTGGAGCTGTTCCTTTTAGGGAGATTTTCCTTCCTTTTGGAGAGATTTACATTCTGTTAGAATCGGAAGTGATGGGAAACTTCTTAAATGGTAAAAAAACAGAAAGTTAGAAACAAAAACAAATTTGTAGTAGAGTACGGAAGGTTTAGAAGTTCTAACCACATGTTTTTATTGCCGTCTTCAACTTCCTACCCCCTCTCATTTATTAAAACTGACTAGAGCTGGACTTCAGAGCTTCTGCTGTCAACTTTAAGGATTAATTGCTCCACAATGTCTGCAGCTACAGAGGTAAGGGCTTCTACCGAACGCTTCTTTACTGCTTACTAACAATATGAAAATGCTTGAATGGTTATAGTCTTGCCACGGGTTCACTTAAAGGTGAAACTAAAACTCTACAATACCACCTTAATAGCATGTATAAGGAAAAACATCAAATTTGCTCTTCACTTCCTTTATATTATTTCTCATGTAATTTCAACCCAAGTGTGAAATGTGACAATAAACATGAAGCACAGAACACACCAAATACAGACAGGCATGTATGTCTTCACTTTAATTACCATAGTTGCTTCTGTAACATGATGCTCTTACCTGGGGAATTTAGGTAGTGCCGGTAACAGTTTTCCTGTTCGTCTGTAATTGAACATGCCGCCAATCACCAATGCACAAATGATTATTATCAAAACCACAGTAAGAAGCACAGCAACAGCAGCTAAAAATAAGTAACAAAAATATAGTTATTTTGTAGTAACAAGCTTTACATGAAAAGTAATCTATCGCATGTACAACCGGGATACAATATTATTAACACCATATAAAGTTCTTAGAAATATAACTATAATTAGCATCTATTATGGGAAAATATTGATTTAAAGTTGATGTAAACTATAACTGAATGGCATTTAGATGTTGATTTATGAAAGGCAAATTGGCTGTTTACTTTGCATGGGAACTTTCCTTTAGTTTAATGATTGTAGTGAAAATGTACTTTGCAAAGAATACCCAATCATTTGCAATGAAAAATTAAAAAAAAGTTTTCTTTGCTTGCACACAGAGTTAATAGATGAAGAAAGTCAGCAAAGCTTCACCAAATTCGCTAAGCTAAAGGTGAAATTTCCTCACTAGGAACAGCCTGTTTGCCTTTAATAAACCAACCCCTAATTTTCAAAAGCACGGTGTAGAAAACTACTGTTATTGTGTTTTCTTTTTGTTAATACAGTTTACTACTCACATGTGGCTACATGTCATTGCTTAGGGCAAGCGTGTTGACATCCCCATGATAGGTCATCTAAATATCCCTTGCAAAGAAGATAGTGGAGAGCAGAAGAAGCAGTCCTTTCATTTCCAAAGCCTCTGACTATAGTACCTGATCATTTTGGTACAAGCAAATTAAACTAGAAAAGCTACAATTTCTGGGGAAATTGTGTGAAGTGTTCTTGCCTCCACCAGTAGTCTACAGCTCACACTCTAGCTTTTGTCACTCTGCTGCCTGCTCACACACTTGGGTTACTATGGCAACTCACACTCTACAGCAAGGGCAGAGAAGAGCGGTTAAAAACAAACCGCTCCAACTTGCTCACTTCACTGGCATCTTCAAACGATTGTAGTTTAAAAATTATAAATCCTACACTGAAGAGCTTTAGATTGTGAGAATCACAAGACCCAGACCTACATTTTGATGCATAGTATGTCTCTGAAATATTACAAATGAAGGCACAGTCGCAGTTTAGAAATTGCCCTTCAAATTTGAGGTGGCTACAGTGCAGTTTCAATGAATGTCAATGGGCGGCATGAGTTGCAAACAAATGGTCATATTGTGCAAACTATCAGGACTATGGCTTAGCCGTGGACATTTTTAGTGGCAGCAGGGATAGCTGAACGTTTTGATGTAAGATTTGTGTAGGTGGGCTTGAAAATGAGGGAGTGATGGCAGTTTAGATATCATGTCCTGATTTTTCAGCTCACACTCTAGCTTTTGTCAGCTCCCACTCTAGTTTTGAACATTCCGCCATTCATTCCTATGGGACCAATTTCACCACAAAAACTCCGATATTTCGTGAACCATTCGGCGAAACGTTCCACAAAGTAATAGCACACCAATCAGGAACAATCCGCACGTTTCAGTATATTACTGTCTATGTAGTGTAAAAACTGTGGGAGGAGTTAGGGTGGTAAATTTGGCTATAATAATAAGAATATATATATGAGATAACAGTAAGTGGTCTTGCCATGCAAGAACACTTAATGAATCACTCTTTTCCTACATGTCTCGCCACCAAGATTGCCTTTGTCAGGGTTAACTAGAGTGCTGAGACAATGCTCAAAAGTGCTTGCATGCCTAAAGTGGATATCCTCTTTTCAAGGGATAGTTAGAACAATCAATATAAGTTTAGACACCCGATTAGTACTTTTCAGAAATGACTAACATGCAGGTTTTGTGGAATTAGTTTATTACTTTAATTAAGGTTGGGTTGTAATCTAGAGGGCTACAGCATGCAGTAGTGACAAAAACTGTTATATTAAAACTAGTGCTGAATAGAAAAAAGATGCAATTAAATGAGATGAAATGTACCTGTTCCTGGAGGTAAACCAGCTCTATACGCTATATTGCAATAGCTTCCTGTGAAACCTGATGCACACCTAGAAATCAAAAAAAACACCAAATGCAAAACTGAAAAACTCATATTTACAATATTCAGCTGGAAAATAGACTTTTGTTTATTTTAAGATAAAAAGATGCCATATATTCAAGTGTGCAGAGCCGTTATATAGAATTTCCATTTGCATGTTAGGTGCAGGGCCATCTTTATCAGAAAGTAGTGAAAAATCAGTGCCAGCGATTGCAAACTAGTGTTTACCAATTAATGTGCCTTGTTTCTACATAAGTGGACAGCAGAATTAATAGGACCTTGGAGCAGATTCTTTAGTTGTTACAAGATTCTCTGCAGTTCTTATGTAATTACCTATACAGATTCATCTTTAGCAGACTGGAGCGCTAAAGAGGAGCTCTGCATTATACAGAAAGCAGATAGCAAATCTCCCAAATCATCAAGCTACTCTGCTAGCAGTTTAGTTCTAGGTGTTCAGGCTTAGAGCGAATGAACTGAAAGTAGACAGCTGACTATTTCAACAACAAAAACACACTTTATATAGCGGAAGCAATGATGAGGACCCAGCTGGACGGCTCTGACAGGTAGTAGTCATGATTTGTGTGTAGCTGTGTGCTGCTTCTAACAGTCCTGCAATCCTAGACCATGGAATATGTTGTCTATGCAGAAATGTGGGCCTCCTGACAATCAGCAAATACACACAACCAGCCTACTGGTCATTTGGCCTCACTAAAGCCCTTTTTTAAAGCTGCACTGGCCTAGTGTCACACAAGCACTAACACAAACCAGCCCATTTGGAGATTTCAGAAGTGCCTAGTTGTTAGTCTGGGTTCTGACTATTATAAATTTAGCCACCAGGAGTATCTTTTCATCATTGGATACTATAGATATACACATTTTGAGGCCATAATTAACTAGCAGGGTCATTGCCTTGTTTTCCTTGTGCTAATCTAGCTTAGAATGCTATGATATGAAATGACTATTCCAACTGATGTTGGAGAACTATACAGGGAAAAATAGCCACTTCTTTGTCTATGCCACTTATAGGCACAGGTCTGATGTACCCAATGGTAAAATTTGGCACAGCAATCAGTTAGCTGAGCTGCAGATTCCAGGTTATTCCACCATCTTTGATAAAACTGTAAAAACATAATGTAAAGGTCACAAAACCATATTTACAAGACTTAGGCAAAAAATGAACAGATACTAAATGTAAATTCAATATAGTGCTGAGTTATAATAGTAGTGCCTTTCTTAAAATAATTTTTAGTGCAACCTTCACATTTTAAATGCTTGATTTTGAATAATTTTATTTTAATTTATTACATCTCATGATTCACCAAGAGGCAGCCCTGCATTTGACCTAATAACCCTTAACAACTTGCCGACAACCTGCTTGCACTGTAATGGTACATTGTCGCCTTCTTTCGTGTTTAGGGCGCACCCTGCACACAGTGGAAGCCTGTCAGCAAGCCCTGGCCAATGATTCACGGCCAGGACCTGCTGATCAGCTGTGTCCAATCACAGTCCAAAGCTCTTGTGTCAGTAAACAACACACAGCTCTGAACTAAGGGAGCAATCTGTCAGTTCTCATGCCTGAAAAGTAGGCATGAGAAATTGATATATCAGCTAGTAAAAGCAGTACACCGTACACATATTACACATAGTTAGGCAAATATTTAACCTCTTGATTGCCCTATATGTTAACCCATTCCCAGCCAGTGTCATTAGTACAGTGACAGTGTATAAGATTATTGCTGATCACTGTATGAATGTCACTGGTGATGTCAGTGTCAGTTAGTTTTTCCCTCCCAGTGTCAGTTAGTGTCAGATTGCCCACTGCACTACAACATTCCTGTTATATGTGGCTGATCGCCGCCATTAGTAGTATAAAAAAATGTAAAAAAAAAAAAAATTCTAGTACTGTATATATACACACCATAGTTTGTAGGCGCTGTTAGGGAGACAAGAATTTAAAAAAAAACTGGTGCAGAAATTTAGTACAGGCACCAAAAAGTACACATACCTGAGGTTATGGCTTAATCTAAGACATTCTGATAGTCTCAAGGCTTTCCCACTCCTTTCTACCTCCTGAATATTTCTATTGACCAGTGAGAGTCTAGCCATCATAGTGATGAGCAAAAACGGATGGGTGGGGCTTATTGTCAAACTCTGACACTGTCGGTTTTGCTCAAAATTCCCCATTGAGAGGAGATTTTGGGAGGCTGCTGCAGGTATGTGTACTCCAAGGTGCTGCACTTCACACCTGCAACCACTTTTAGAGAGACACTGGGGTTAATTTACTAGAACTGGGCAGTGCAAAATCTGATGCAACTCTGTACAGAAACCAATTATCTTCAAGTTTTTTTTTTGTCAAAGCTTAATTGAACAAGCTGAAGTTAGAAGCTGATTGGCAACCATGCACAGCTGCACCAGATTTTGCACTCTACAGTATTAGTAAATCAACCCTACTGTCATCATTCCCATTCTGGGTAAAGTAAGAGTGACTGTGTAAAGAGGTTCCACAAAACTCATCTTGCCAGTACTTGCTCACTGCCCCTTTTATTTATTATTATTTCAGGTACTTATATAGCGCCATCAATTTACACAGCGCTTTACATATATATTGTACATTCACATCAGTCCCTAACCCTCAAGGGGTGTACAATCTAAGGTACACTAAAATCCCCAATGTTGTCTGGTGTCAGACACTAAGAGGGGCAGTGACCTCCTCACTCTTCTTGTGGTACTCAGACATAGCACTGCCTGTTAGACCTGAGCACTGTCATATGAGAGGAGGTCACCTGCTCACACCTACCTTCAAGCCCTGGGCATATTTCCTGGCTGTGGCAGCAGAAGGAGATGGAGGAGAGCGGTGGCAAGGTACGTATTAGTGGGTTAAAGAGGGCCATTTAAACAAATCCTAGCACTTTGCCCTGAATGAGAATAGTGACACAGTCTCTTCAAGATAAGGTATTAGCTTCACAACGAGTGCATTGTTTTTAATCAGTCAGCTGACTCACACACTCATAGTGAATAGGAGCAGAAATGCAAAACAACTGCAGGAAGCAGAGCCTACATATGTCATGGGCAAATATGTCTTCCCACATATACAATTACAAGCTATACATAAAAACAGCTAGATTTAAATCATGAAGACATACTAATCAGATGATTTACATCAAGATGATCTCATTTACATGTATGTCTGAATATCATTTAAAAGAGCATGCAATTACTTCAACACATAATGGCTACTACTAAAAGCCAACAGGCAAAACTTACTTGCATTTCGGAAGGCCCATCTCATCAAAATAGCATGTTCCTCCATGCATACATCTGCATGCTGGTGGCATGGTTGGGGGAGACTCAAAAGCTAAGAAAATGGAAAGCCATGCATGTTAGTGAGCAGTACATGCAACTGTTATGTGCTATATGCAGGGAGTAAAGCCACTGTGCTTAAAGAGAATCTATTACAAATAAAAGAGCACCTCACATGTAGCAGGTCACCAGTTAGACATAATAACAGATTTTTACTAAATTTGTGAATTTCGTTGAAATGCAAAATTTTCTTTGGGCAGAGCTATATCCAATAACTATTTGCAGTGTTCATGGTAATAACTTGGTCAGCAGCTGCCAATGCAATACAGCTTTCTATGATAAAACCAGATATACTAGGAAAAGACACTTTAATCTGCTTTTTGGCAATGAGGTTATTTATTAAAAGTGTGCAAGTGACTTTCCCAGTGTTTCATTGTTTTCTACAACACTGTGAAAATGTCTCAAATGTGATAGGTTCAATTTGATACAACCTCTTTTAGCAAAGTTCACAGCTACATTGTGAATAGAACTGTTGTATTTGAAACAACAAAGACGCTTAGTGGTGTAGTTATAAAAGATTCACATACCATTTTGTCAGTGAAAGTGCATGTACATTTTTTCTGTGTGGTGTTGGCCCTAATGGCGAATAATCAGATGTTATTAGACTTTCCTGTGCTGGTCGAATGTTTTTCATTGACTTAAAACAGAAAATACTGTGTTTGACCAATAGACGGCACTAATTATCATAAGAAATTTCTATTGTGATATGTCAGTTTCCAAGTGTGATATTTTCACAGAAAATAGCCTAATAACTTTAGTTTTTTTGCCGCATTTGCACAGAATGAATGTACATGCACTTTTAGTGGGTGAAATATGCAAATTTCTTACAAATACACCTCTTAGGCTTGTACAGTAAATATTACCTATTTTAGAAAACAATGCTAAATCTGGAATGCTAATTGTTAAAAAAAACCCCAAATTATTATTGTTGTTTCAGGTATCGGGTAATGATGTCAACATTTGCAATTTGTTATTTTGCAGCACTGGCATGAAGTTCCTCTGGTGATCACCTCCCCTTAGTATAGAAACTGCTACTGCCTGTCCTGGTTCCAGCAGACTCCAATGACATCAGTCATTGTAGCCAAATGCCATAAGGCAGCAGTACCTGATTCTTCAAGTGAAGAAGATCATCAGTGGATATTCATGTTGGGCCCTTAAAAATGTACCCATTTAATACACAAGTTACTCCAATCACACTTATAGTTTTAGGTGGTCTTTTTTAATATCACGGTCTAGACAAATAAGGGATTGGAGCAATTCTCAGACAAATAAGGGACTGGGACTAATGGGAAAAGGTTAGAACCACTGTCAAATTCTTATTCCCTCTGTTCCCAGTGGGGAGATTCTCCATCACTTCCCGCCTGAGAGACATCACATAAGGTGAGTGGAAATCTCCCAAAAGCAACGGTTGTAATCAGAACAGGTATCCCTTTTATAAAATATCCCCAATGGCAACTGTTAAATGTTTTCGGTCTCAGTGACAACAATCGCTATTAACAAATAGGGAGGATGATTCCACCAAAGGAGGACAGGGACAGCAGTAGAAATCTGACAGAGATCCTGTCCTTTCTTTACTTTATTCAAGCTTTGAAAAAAATTCTGGATGGAGTCCCACTTTTAAAAAAAGGCATATATTGATGTAATTTAGCAGCATATCTCAACTACCTGGCCCTGATCAATTTCATTAACCAGCCAAAAATGTAATTTGTGGTTGTAATGTGCATGTTGTAAAATACCTGCATCACACTCTGTGGTGCTGCCCTCCATGAAGAGGGCTCCTTGGGGACAGGAACACGTGTACCCTCCTGGTCTCAGCAAGCAAAGGTGGGAACAAATATCTTTACAGCGATTAGAAACTGAAAAAAAAAAGAAATATGCAACAACATGAGCCTAATAAGGGCAGTTTTTTCAATAAGAAGCTAAGATCAATAATACAGAGACATGACCTCAAGCTAGCAGGAGGAAAGTTCAAAATTCCATTCCAAGCTGGACCAATGTAGCTATGTAAAAATATGCATTCCTGGAATTCATCTTAAATATAAAAAATAAATAAGCATTCTGAGTATATTTGACACCCTGGGAAGATTTTACACCCTCCTGCTGCTCTGTACAGCAAGATATTTAGTAATAATTAAATTGCTAATAATAATAATATTAACAGCAACAACAACAGAAAAGAAATGCAGACAGCAAAAAATGCAGTGTCCCCTAACATCAGTGGCCACTGTAGACGTGCCCCCTTGCATTGGTGGCCAGTGATGATATGAGGTTAATTCACCATTGCTTAGTGCCCATTCACACATATGTGGATTGGATGTGGTTTGAACCGCATCCAATCCACATGACATGTGAAAAATACATCGCTTCCTATGGTGCCTGTTTGCATATGTCTGGTGCAATGACGGTGAGGATTCAGTGAGGTTTTAAAAAAGAGTTATGTCTGATTTCTGAGCAGTGCAGTCCGGTTCAGGTGCGGATTACAGGCTATTGACTTCTATGGGAACCGTTTCTAAACCGCATATGTGTGAACAAGATAAAAATCCTGAGCTAATCCTGTCCTGAACCTGACGTAAACCTGACCTGAACCTGTATACAACTACAGTACTAATTAGATGTGAAACCTAAGCTTCAATCCGCACCGCACATGTGTGAATCAGCACTTACTGTCCAAGGAAACCCTAGAAACCTCAAAAAGAACACTAGTTGAAAAAGCTTGCACTAGCACACTGTAGTTAGCCTACGAAAGGTAGTGGCAACAGAAGTTTTAACTGGCAGGATCAACAAGTTCGAAGAAGGCTAAATAAGAAAACTTAAAGTAGAACCATAGCATAGGCAAATGTACTTTTTCATTTTCAATAGAGCAAGGGAGGGTTATAATCCCTGTCAGACTTTTTCCTCCATCTGTGGCCTACTGTGGAGATTTCCCCTCACTTCCTGCCACATAGCCAAAATAGGAAGTAAGAGGAAATCCCTGCAAATTAAGGGAATTATTTGGGGACCCCCAGGTCCTCAGAACTAGTTTCCCCATTGGAATAATTCCCCTCTATTACTTTTATGGAGACAACCCAAAATTTGAGATTTTCTTTTAATTTCACTTTCAATATTAATGGTAAACAGGACTAATCGAGAAGGTGAATTTCCTTAACAGGGGCACAGACAGCAATACAAACTGGCAGGTGTCCTAATCTCTCTCCACTCTATCCAAAACGAAAAAAAAAAAAAAAACAAAAAAAAACAAATGTGTCTTTAGTTATACTTTAATCAAAAAGTTCACACAAAACAGGATGCCACTCCAATGCTGCTAGTAATTGAGAGTCTACAATGATGCAGTGACATCCACTACTGAAAGTAGCAGTTGCCTTTTTGTGATTCGGCCATTGCAAAGTATTAAGAGAGGAAGAGTTGGTAGTGTAACACGGCCCTAAGCCCAGTATGTAACTAGAGGTCACAAATGAACAACATTAACAAATGGTTTACATATTAACTCAAAGGATTAATCGTTACCTGTATGGTTGTAGCGATGAGCATGGTATATCCTCACTTGAGTGAGCCAGGGATTTATTGTCAAGACCTTTACTTTAGGACCTGTTCCAAATTTATCTTTTTTCCACACTTCTCCTTTTTCCTTAGTGGTCCAGTACAAATGGCCCTCAAACACATCCAGACTATAAGGATTGCCCAGATCTGTATATGGGATAGACAACGTAATTTAGTAAACACTCAAAAACAGTGGTGCACACGTCAAGTTCGAGCTTGCTGAAATTATTAACAGAAGCTGCTAGCTTTCAAATAATTCATAATCGCTGCTTTGTTTTTATTTTTGTATCTTGTATTGCTTGATAAAGTAGAGAATGCTTTCTTAAAACCTTTTGATTCGATTAACCCTTTCGCTGCCATGCCCTGCGCTTTACTTTTAAACTCAGCTGGCCAGACCATTTTTCCATTGCTTTTTTATTTTTCCCTTACAGCTTTCAGAGTAACCCCCAAACCAAATATTTTCTGAAAGCACATGACCAGTAGAATAAAAAAAAGGTTCTACTGATTTTTAAGGCCCCACGATATATGTCAAATGTTTATAAAAGCAATATTTTCACTGAAAATACACTAAAATATCATTATTAGCAGATAAAAACACAGCAAATTTTACAAAATTCCTGCTGAAGATAAAAGCTTAACCTGTATTGAATTATTAAATGACAAATATTTGTACATTTTAAATTGCGCCTTTTTGCGAAATGGTGAATATCACACACATGTAAAAATGTAAATATCAAAATTTCTCACAAAATCTGAAGGTTTTCAATTTTCACTTACAGCTTTCAGAGTTTGTAAAAGACCCCCTAAACCATATATTTTCTGAACAATTGCATGTGTGCAGGACGAAAGCGCAGGTTCGCCTTTCCGCACTAGCACTGGGGGACAGGTGGCACTTTAATTTTTTTTAATCATAATTTATTTTATTTTTAAACTGTTGCTTTCAATTTTTTTTTCTTTGATCACTTTTATTGCTTTTGCAAGGATTGTAAACATCCTTTATGACAGCAATAGGCACATGACAGGTATTCTTTATGGATGGATCTGGGGTCTAAAAGACCCCAAATCCCTCCTCAGTCCTCAAAAGCATTCAAAACACCAAGATCGTGGTTTAAATGCTTTTGATTGTTTGAAAATGGTGCTGATGACATCCGGATAAATCGGAAGTGATGTCAGGTCATCACTTCCAGGTTACCACTATGGAGACCTGATCAAAGCCATTCCTGGCTTTGTTCATGACTACGGCCAGCTGACAGATGCGCCAGCTGATTGCTTGGGTCTCCTGGTAGAACGGGAGAGCCTGAGCAAGTCGTGGAAGGTGGTGAGGACGTCCCCTCCCGCTGCTTGTAATAGAAATTAAGTGGCTAATTAGCTATTTTTGCTATTAAGAGAGATGACCACTGGCTCTAAAAAGTGGTACCTGGGTGATGTCTGCAGGCATCACCCCAGTACAACCACACAAAGCACAATAACGTACCAGGTATGTGATTGTGCGGCAAGTGGTAAATGCTGCAGTCATGATGCTTTGCTACACACCTGCAGCACAGTGGACCTGACTTGTAGTGATACCGCCTTCTGAACACTACACAATCAAGTCTAAGAAAGCACCGCAAAGGCCTAGCAACTGCTTGCAATGCACGTGGTTGCAGCGCATTTGTAGGCAAAAATGGGGTTAAAACAGGTGGTGAGGAGGCATCGAATGGCTTCCTTACTGCCTGTCAGTAGCCTCTGGAGCACGTCCAAATGCGGATCGGGCTTCAGCGGCAAGGGAGATTTAGAAGCAAGTCTTAATCTACCCTTACTAGTTTTTTTATTTTTACTATTTTATTTTATTTTTTTTTTTAATTACTTTTTCTTACTTTTTTTGGAGGGGGGGGGGGCTCTGGAGAGACACCAGGGTCTATACAGAACCCTAATGTCTCTTTTTTGAGACAAAGAAGGGGACTGAAGATAGTCCTTTTTCTGTAATGTGGGCTGCACTGTAATGAATGGGATAGGTGTACGTATACAGTCTTCATCATATTCATTCACAAACTGACACATACTAAACACAGTTTACTATGTGCCAGTGATGAATGAACAGAGTGATCCAAACTGATCACTTTGTTCATTCAGGAAAGAAAAGGTGCTGTAAACACATGTTTAACAGTCAAACCCCCCCCCCCCCCCGCCCCCGCTCTCCATCCTGATCTTGATCTGTCACTGACAGATCTCCAGAGTCCCAGCCAGCAGCTGCAGGCAGAGGGGGAGGTGGAGGGAAAGTCTGGGGGGCTGCTGGAGATCGGTGAGTGAGGGAGGTACTGATGGGGAGTTCCAGCGGGGGGGGGTTGGGGGTGCACATAAAAAAAAGATTTTGTGTGCAATTCCCTTTTCTCTTTGTTAGGCCAGTCTGCAAACCAATCCCCCTTCCTACCTTTTTGTGGGTGTCTCCTTTATCTAGCCAGCTACTAGGGAGATACACGTGCAGCCATGGGCACTCATAGCTAAGACTGCGTGTGTCCATTGAAACACACAGTCCTCAGCAAGCCATTCCCCCACTCTTTTCTCACAGCAATCTGAGTGACAGCAGCAAGAGCTTATCGCTCCCCTAGTTTTCAAGCTTACGGAATGACATGGATTGTCTCAAAGCCAGCAGTGGTAACAAGAGACCACAGGTAAGTGTTTTGGGACAGGGGGGCATGAAAAGTTATTTGGGAATTTTTCTATATTAAGGCACAGAATGCATTATTGGAAAAAAACACCTATCCTTTAGTACTACTTTAACTGACTTGGTTTAAAAAATAAATATATACATATATATACACACTATATTGCCAAAAGTATTGGGACAGCCCTCTAGTTCATTGGATTCAGGTGTTCCAATCACCTCCATGACCACAGGTGTATAAAATCAAGCCCCTAGGCATGCAGACTACTTCTACAAACATTTGTGAAAGAAAGGGTCGCTCTCAGGAGCTCAATGAATTCAAGCATGGTACCGTGATAGGTTGCCACCTGTGCAATAAGTCATCCGTGAAATTTCCTTGCTACTAAAACATTCCACAGTCAACTGTTAGTGGTATTATAACAAAGTGGAAGCAACTGGGAACAACAGAAAGTCAGCCACGAAGTGGTAGGCCACATAAAATGACAGAGCGGGGTCAGTGCATGCTGAGGCGCACAGTGCGCAGAAGTCGATAACTGTCTGCAGAGTCAATAGCTAAAACCTCCAAACTTTGTGTGACTCTCAGATTAGCACAGCAACAGTGTGTAGAGAGCTTTATGGAATGGGTTTCCATGGCCGAGCAGCTACATCTAAGCCTAACACCACCAAGTGCAATGCAAAGCATTGGATGCAGTGGCGTGAAGCATGGCGCCACTGGACTCTAGAGCAGCGGAGACGTGTTCTCTGGAACTCTTAAGGCATCAGCATACCAAGACATTTTGGACAATTTCATGCCCCCAACTTTGTGGGAACAGTTTGGGGATGGCCCCTTCCTGTTCCAACATGACTGCACACCAGTACACAAAAAAAGCAAGGCCCATAAAGACATGGATGAGTGAGTTTGGGGTGGAGAAACATGACTGACCTGCACAGAGCCCTGACCTCAACCCGATAGAACACCTTTGGGATGAATTACAGTGGAGACTGCAAGCCAGGCCTTCTCGTCCCACATCAGTGCCTGACCTCATAAATGTGCTTCAGGAAGAATGGTCAAACATTCCCATATACACACTCCTAAACCTTGTGAACAGCCTTCCCAGAAGAGTTGAAGCTGTTATAGCTGCAAAGGGTGGGCAATCTCAATATTGAACTCTACGGACTAAGACTGGGATGCTATTAAAGTTCATGTATGTTTAAAGACAGGCATTGCAATACTTTTGGCAATATAGTTTGTGTATATATATATATATATATATATTCTGTAGCCACAATAGCCATATTTTCTCACCTCCAGATAAAACTGTCCTTCTGTCTGTTCCATCAGGTTTGATGGATTCAATGACATTTTCCTTGGAGTCACACCAATAAATCCGATTGTTATTGATATAATCAATGGTGAGGCCGGTGGGCCAACCAAGGTCCTCTGACACGAGCACCTGTCTCTGCTGTCCATCCATCCAAGCATGTTCAATTTTAGGCTGTCTTCCCCAGTCTGTCCAATACATAATTCTGCATTGGGAAAAACATTCAAACATTATTCCAATGTATAGCCCTACATTTGCCAATGAAAATGTATATTTGTAAGTAAATACCTAAATAATATCAAACACAGTACTATACAAAGTAAACATTGATTTAGTTTACCTGCTAAAAAAAAAAAAATAAACAATTTCTGAGTAGCATGTGATTCCAGTCTATCTGGAAAAAAAAGCTATTTCCTAGGGCCACTTTGCACTCTCTATATATTTCTAGGGAGATATTATTACAGGGATGACGAAGATAACTTATGTGGTGACAGGGAGATGGATGGTCAATCTTGGGTGGAATTACTCTTTAATGTACAGACTTATACAATAATAAAATGAACAAATGTCAAAGCCTGGCAGCTTGTTTGTGGCAGACAACAATTCTATCAGACAAAATAGAGTCTAGGAAGTTCATGTCTAGGAAGTTCATGTACACCAGCCCTTTCCACAGGCCTGAAGAAAAGTGACACTTACCCTAGTTCTGGATTGACTGCAATGGCTGCTGGCTGATCAATCTGCATGTATATAAGCCACTTCCTGTATCGACCATCCAGTTTTGCTACTTCTATACGATTCGTGCCTGCATCAGTCCAATAAAGGTGCCTTATTGATAATAACAAGAAAATATACAAATAATCTGTAAATTTAGGAAATATTCTTGATATAGTTAACATTGTATGTAGCAGAGCAAAAAAGGTTTACCATTTCCTTTAAAAAAAGAAGTTGCTGTGATGAAGAGTTGGGGTTTGAGATGACAATGTAGTAAGGCAAGAAGACTTAAGAATGTTCAGTACTAATAGAAGAACTGTTAAAATACTCTAAGCCCTGGTTCACACTGGTGCGACTTGCCATGCGATTTGACAGTTTCAAATTGCATGACAAGTCGCACCCTATTGTCCACAATGGAACCATTCATATCGGTGTGACTCCAAAGGATTTTGAAAGTAGTTCCTGCACTTCTTTTTGCAATTTCAGGTGCGACTTGCATAGGCATCTGTAGACATGAAGTTGCACAGATGTCTTCCAAGTTGCACTTGAAGTCGCACAGACATGAAATTTTGGGCATTCCACTGGGCCCCCAAGGAGGGGGGGAGACACCATACAGTATCCCTATCTAGTTTATATTGGGCAGGGAATCTAGATGCAGAAAAAAACAGGTAAATGACACAGCATCAAGATACAAATTCAATGGCCCCGGTGGTGAAAATTTTGAGCATTCCACTGGTTCCCCCCCTCCTCCTTAGAGCCCCCCTTGTTCTGTAAACTGGTGGAGCAACGTCGGCGTCGACATTCATTTTAACTATATATGTCAGCGGCTATATATTTGTTTATAATGCACATAAAGCATAGAAAGCAAGCAACCATGAGAAAGAAGAAGATTTTTAAACATGTTGGGTGCTGTGCCTCTGGACCATCTATGCAGCTTGAATTTGAATTTCTTTGCCTCCCTATGTAGTGATATATATGTGTAAACATTATTTGTAGCCGCAATAATTGTATCAGCATGGTTTTTAACCTAATTTTTTAACAAAACATTTTTGTGCTAATAAAAATTTGTATAATTTTTATATCAAAATATTTTTTTGATTGTTGATGTAGCCTTTAAAAGTTCCATTTATTAGAGGGGATTATTGGTCTTGTGTATAGAATGTGTATATATATATATATATATAGGGATGATCACTACTCATTAAGCACCATATCCTACCTTGATTTTCTTCCCTAGAAAGAAAAGGCTCCAGATTGTCCTCTTTCAATGTAAATGGAATTTAAGAAACAACAATCATGAGTGCCGACTATAGTGCTATAATGTATTAAGAATCACTTTTCATACCTTCCAATCCAGTCCACAGCTATTCCATCTGGATTTGCAATATAGCGCAGATTCAGATCAACATCCTTCACCATATTGTTGCCATAGTCTTCAAATGTTGGTATATAGGCACGTCTGATAGACCCAAACACTGAGCCTTGTCCACGAATACTGTAGTAGACAACGCCTATGAAAGGATAATACATAAAAGGTACTGTCAGAAGGAACTCTGCTAGTGTCTGCTTTCATATACTTCTTAATGGATCAACACAAGCAAAGGTTGTATTATTTTGGGTATGATTTCATTAAAACGTTTATTATTATTATTATTATTATATATTATTATTATTATTAATAATAATAATAATACCAACATTAAAATGTTATTATTCCTTATGGTTATTGTTGCTTAAAAAAATGGCTGACAATGGAAACCTTTATGTTAACTTTTAAATTGTGTGGATCCTGGATCATCTCAAGGATATTATATTAGTACTGTAATTGTAAATCTCAAGGCCGAATGCTAACTTGGGAGCCTGCTGCACTCTAGTGGTAGAATTCTGTTCTTACAAATACTCCTGCCTTAGTTACGCTACAGAATATAAATACACTGACGTCCTCACAAATTCCCACGGACTGCGTTCAGCTATAATTCTATCAGCTGTTTCCAACATGAACTGTAACATGGATTCCTGACTGTCATGAAACAGCTATAGAAAGATTTTTAGATATCTTAGATCGCATCTTTTCTACTGACTGGTGGTTCAATATGTTTAGCTGGTCTTGCTGGCACACTGTATGGATCTACATTTATTCCATTTACTATCACAAGATAGTCAATTTAACCAATTCTGACATTTGTAGATGTTGATTAGTTAAAAAGTATATGTATAGCCAAAACATTATTTTTTGGTTTGATTAAAGAAGGGAAGGGTTAGATCTTAAGATCATTGTTTGTTGTCTGTGTACCATTGGAGAGATTTTCCTTCGCCTCTTGTCCTGGAGACACAACAAGAAAACAGAGGAATTCTCCCAAAGAGAGAGGAAATCCCCTCTTAGGTGATTTGTCCTTTGGAACATTTGTCTGTACCTCCTGTTCCTATGATGTTGGAGTTCTCATCACTTTTGTTTCAATGACAATGATCACAGTATAAACAGAGAGGGAGAATCTCCCCAACAGGGACACAGAAGGCTAACCTTATCCCACCTCATTCAAACTTAAGAAAATGTTTTGCCTTTTACGGACACTTTAAATTATCCACTGGCATTATATGTGTTTCAATAGCACAGAAAGCAAGATCTTTGCTGCTGAGCTTTCTGCTCAGCTCGACTCCAGTGGCACTTCACAGTCCTTTTGAATATGCTATGTATTTTATATTGCAGAGTCAGCAAAATCCTGCTTGCAGCAGGCATCAGGCTCCACAAATGAGCACTGGCAGGGACATCTCAACCAGGGGCGGACTGACCATTTGGAAACTCGGGCACTGCCCGAGGGCCTGGGGTCAGTAGGGGGCCCCATGAGATGCCCCTGGTACCTTTTTCATAGGCTTTTTTGAGTTTGGGCAAGGACACAGGGGCCCCATGATCCCCTATTGCCCGGGGGCCCCATGAGTTGTCAGTCCGCCCCTGATCTCGACACTGTAAATTCCAGGACCTGAATCACCTACTGGTGACACTGTGGTTCCCTGGGTGGAGGGTTGTCATCCCAGTGTCCACCAGCTGGTGTCTCCCAGCAGCCAGCAGATCCCAGTAATCAGTTTTCACTGGATGCTGGGAGGATGTTTAGTGCCTCCTGCTCCAGTGTTTTGCTGCTGCCAGATCCTGTTGCCATTTATCATGATCTTGCTCCTGCCCTGTACCCAGTTCCCTGCTGCCTTGTTCCTGCTCCTCCTTGTTCCTTTCCACAGTTTTATTCCCCCTTCCCATATGCTCCCTGCACCACCAGTCTCCCCCTGCCGTTTTGTGTTCCCCATTTTGTATCTTTTGCATATAGCCTGTTTGTTAGTTATTAGTCAAGTATTCTGTCACTGGGTTTCTGTTATACTTGTACTTTTATGTTTGATGTGTGCTGGTGTTTAGATGGATTTTGTTTCACTTTAACTAAAACTTACTTACAGCATACACAGTCTGGTCCAAGTTTCCTTAGTGTAGCCACACAGATCTGGCCAACCCTGCTGTTGATTCCTGACAGCCATCTCCAAAAGATATATGAAGGAGGATGATATAGCCCACCAGTATCCACCCATAAAATAGGACTATTAGGTGGACTGACATGTCAGGCAAGGAGTACAATTCTTATTTTTTGGAACATAAACACAACGATATACTTTTTTTAATGATGAAAATCATTACTAGGTACCCCCACTTTCTCTGCACAATGTGCCCTCTGTTGCCTTAAGCCATTAAAGTATAAGTAAAGGCAAAACCTTTTTAGTTTTGGATAGAGTATAGAGGGATTATACAGTTGTGTTCAAAATAATAGCAATGTGTTGAAAAAAGTGAATAAAGCTCAAAATCCTTCTAATAGCTTTTATTTCCATACACACAAATGCATTGGGAACACTACACATTCTATTCCAAATCAAAACATGAAGAAAAATAGATCAAATTTGTGTTGTTCCTCTAAAAAAATTGAAGAAAAGTGAATATTAGACTGTTCAAAAAAATAGCAGTGTTTGTATTCTTCTTTACAAACTCAAACATTCACTATATAAACTGAAAAATAATTGAAGATTTTGCTTTCCTTTGAATCACTTAATGAATATTTAGTTGTATAAGCACTGTTTCTGAGAACTGCTGCACATCTGTGTTGCATGGAGTCAACCAACTTCTGGCACCTGTGAACAGGTATTCCAGCCCAGGATGATTGGACTACATTCCACAGTTCTTCTCTATTTCTTGGTTTTGCCTCAGAAACTGCATTTTTGATGTCAAACCACAAGTTTTCTATTGGATTAAGATCCGGGGATTGGGCTGGCCACTCCATAACGTCAATCTTGTTGGTCTGGAACCAAGATGTTGCCTGTTTACTGGTGTGTTTGGGGTCGTTGTCTTGTTGGAACACCCATTTCAAGGGCATTTCCTCTTCAGCATAAGGCAGCATGACCTCTTCAAGTATTCTGATGTATTCAAACTGATCCATGATCCCTGGTATGCGATAAATAGGCCCAACACCGTAGTATGAGAAACATCCCCATATCATGATGCTTGCACAACCATGCTTCACTGTCTTCACAGTGTACTGTGGCTTGAATTCAGTGTTTGGGGCTCGTCTGACAAACTGTCTCCGGCCACTAGACCCAAAAAGAACAATTTTACTTTCATCAGTCCACAAAATGTTGCGCCATTTCTCTTTAGGCCAGTCAATGTGCTCTTTGGCAAATTGTAACCTCTTCAGCACATGTGTTTTTTTCAACAGTGGGACATTGCGGGGGCTTCTTGCAGATAGCTTGGCTTCACATAGGCGTCTTCTAATTATAACAGTACTCACAGGTAACTTTACACCTTCTTTGATCTTCCTGGAGCTGATTGTTGGCTGAGTCTTTGCCATTTTGGCTATTCTTCTATCCATTTGAATGGTAGTTTTCTTCCACGTCTTTCAGGTTTTGGTTGCCATTTTAAAGCATTTGCAATCATTTTAGCTGAGCAGCCTATCATTTTCTGCACTTCTTTATATGTTTTCCCCTCTCCAATCAACTTTTTAATCAAGGTACGCTGTTGTTCTGAACAATGTCTGGAACCACCCATTTTCCTCAGAATTTCAAACAGAAATGCACTGTAACCAGCATGTACAACATTTGCTGCCTTCCTTCCTTAAATAAGGGCAATAATTGCCACCTGTTTTTCAAAGAATGAATGACCTCACTAATAGAACTCCACACTGCTATTATTTTGAACATGCCCCTTTCAATTAGTGATTCAATTACACAGAATCAGCAGCATGCATGTCATGACTGTTGGGTCTGTTGGATTTCTATTACTCTACTACACCTGCTAGTAAATTATTTGCCATGTAGAAATATTCTACCAACAACAACAGTGATTGATCAGGTTAGTGATGTCTGACTGCTATTATTTTGAACACAACTGTAACACCTGTCAGGTTTTTATTGCTGTCTGTGACCCCATTAGGGAGATGCTCTCTCTCTGTTTGTCCTGTTTACTGTCAACAGCGAGAGTGAAAGTAAAAGAAGATACCACATTTTGGGTTGGGAATAGAGAGGTTATCTTTCAATGGGGACACTAGTTCTGGTGAGACTGGTGACACCCTGGGATTCCTTCACTTTTGAGGGATTTCTTCTCCCTTTCTCTTTTGTTTAATCAGACAAGAAGTGAAGGGAAATCTCCTCAATGGGACACAGATGGCAAAAAAAACTAACGGGTTATAACTCTCTTCTTACTCTATCCGAAATGAAAAAAGTTTTCACTATAGTTTTACTTTAATATTGCAAGTATATAAATATTATTTTAGCACTGGTCATATAAAGATATAAATGGTCTCCTAGATTGTAAGCTTGAAAGAGCAGGGCCCTCAATCCCCTCATGTTTTGCATTGTATTGGTATTGTTCTGTCACATGTTCTGTCCCCCTTTGTAATGTACAGCGCTGAGCGAACTATTGGCGCTTTATAAATACTGTATAATAATAATAATAATAATAATAATAAAAAGAAATGTGGTCCAGAACTGCTTTTTAGTCCCAGCCTGGCACCACCAGGGAACATGCATTAATGTTAGAAAGACAGAATAAAATTCAATAATACTTACTAAGATCTATTCCCTCAGGATCCCAGTCATAGTCCAGGGCCTGAATGTGCTGCTGCTCATCAATATAATCTGAATATTGTTCAGAAGAAAGGTTATATCTTCTTATTCGCACATTGTCCGGCAACAGCAGCAATGGAGGATTACCTGAAATATTACAGAATTCCACTAAAAATACATGGATACCATGGGGTTTATTTACTAAAGCTGGAGAGTCCAAAATCAGACTCCCTTCTGCATAGAAACCAATCAGCTTCCAGGTTTCATTGCCAAAGCTTCACTGAACAAGCTGAGGTTAGAAGCTGATTGGTTTCTATGCAGAAGGGAGTCTGATTTTGGACTCTCCAGCTTTAGTAAATAAACCCCCATATGTCTATTGCAGCTCAAAAGTACGTTGGGAGCAGTGTGCAGAATAATAAGCCTTCTATGAATAAGGAGCCATTCAAAATATATGGCAACTCAGAAGAACTAATAAAATGCCATTGCTTTGATTACAATACACATCTCCAGACTGAATGCTACTTCAATTTGCATTTTTTGGGTCCTCCTGCCTTCAACAGTCAAAAACAAACAACATTTTTGGGTCTCCCTAGTAGTCTTATGATGCTCAATATGTTCAAACCAAAAACTGAAAAGCTTATTGCATATAGAAATTATTATTCAGTCCACAGTTTAACAAATTATTTTATTAATGCTAAAAGAAACAAATCAATAATCCTGTAAATTTATATTCATGGGCCATAAAATAAAATGTTAAATAGATTTTTTGTTTTAGTTAGGTTCATATAACATACTGCATAAATAATAATTATTTACCACTTGCCACCAGTAAGTATCACAATCTAGCCAACAGTGCCACATTTGTATTATACCTATATACTACTATTTTGTGAATAGCCTGGTCAACCTATGTGTATAGCCCTGTACAGGACATCAGATTACAGACACTAATTTTTGCTAAGTTTAGACTATCTTGGTTAGTTAGACAGAGATTGCCAAAATAACTACCAGGCAGTGCTGGGCTTTCCTATTCAAAAGCCCAGTATGCTCTGTAAACGGAATGCCTCCAATGCTCTCTGAATAAATTGTGTTTGTCAGAGAAGGGAACATGAACATTTGGTATATTTTTTACTCCGGTAAATATTTAAGGCTGCATATGAATATTCATATTTGGTTTTCCAACTAGCAGGGGAAACTTCAGTTACTTTTTGCCTATTTTTCCAGATGTCTGTAAATGTTTTACAGGGAATAAAGCCTGTTTACAGTGTTTTTTTAGTTTCAGAAGAAATTTACACACACAGTTGAATTAGTCTGGGGAGTGACTCAATTCCCTCCTTCCCCCGCTGCAAGCCTTACAGAATTTCAATAAGAGGGAGACAATATGAAAGCAAACAGCTTCTGCTCCCTCTCTCTTTAGTAAATCCAGTGTCATGGGAAAATATTTATTTGTAAAAAGAAAAAAAAAATCAGGATTTTTTTTATATTAAACAATAAAAAATAAAGATAAAGTATATCAGCTTACAAATGTCTAAACTCAAAAAGGTAAAATAAAACTGATCCCAAAACAAATGTAATTTCTCTGTGAGTTAATTTTACAGAACTTTATAGTACAGACCAGCTGTAAGATCTGAAGAAAAGTTTCTGTGAAATTGAAGCTTTTGACTTACAGTAGTTTCTCCTCTGCTCATTGTATGCAGCTAAATTTGTGAATTACAACATAACAGTGTTTTTTACGTATCAATTTATGTATTGATTTTCCTTTACATAAGTAGTTTACATTTTCCTTACCATCAGCTGCACATTGCTTTCCTTGCTGATCACCGACCGATCTGAAACCTTCTGCACAGAAGCACTCATAACTTCCCTTTGAATTCTTACAGTCTTGTGGACACATGCCATATAGTTCACACTCATTAATATCTAAACAAAAAGATTTTTATCATTAGTGTGTCAAACACGTCTCTATGACTATGGATTCTCACTACCTCTGTCTAATCAACAGTATAAAAATACTGCCTTCCGCCCTCACCTTCGCAGGAATTCCGGTCACTGTCACTGGCTTTATATCCTGGCTGGCATGAACAGATAAATCCACTTTCAGCTAGATTAGTGCAGTTGTGCTCACAGATATTTTCTCCACAGTGTCGTCCAGTTCCTCTGTCTAATTAGAAAGCATTCAGTGACATTGCGGTTTTAACTGTGGGTGGTTGAGTTCATAAGTTCCCAACAACAGCTTATCCATAAAACAGAAATCCAAAGAATATATATATATATATATACACATACATGCACACATACATACACACACATACATACACAGGGGCGGACTGACAACTCATGGGGCCCTTGGGCAATAGGGGATCATGGGGCCCCTGTGTCCTTGCCCAAACTCAAAAAAGACTATGGAAAAGGTACCAGGGGCATCTCATGGGCCCCCTACTGACCCCGGGCCCTCGGGCAGTGCCCGAGTTTCCAAATGGTCAGTCCACCCCTGCACATACACACACACTATATAGCCAAAAGTATTGGGATACCCCTCCAAATCATTGGATTCAGGTGTTCCAATCACCTCCATGGCCACAGGTTTATAAAGTCAAGCACCTAGGCATGCAGACTGCCTCTACAAACATTTGTGAAAGAATGGGTCACTCTCAGGAGCTCAGTGAATTCAAGTGTGGTATCGTGATAGGTTGCCATCTGTGCAATAAGTCCATCCGTGAAATTTCCTTGCTACTAAATATTCCACGGTCAACTGTTAGTGGTATTATAACAAAGTGGAAGCAACTGAGAACAAACAGCAACTCATAAAATGACAGAGCGAGGTCAATGCATGCTGAAGCACCTAGTGTGCAGAAGTCGCCAACTGTCTGCAAAGTCAATAGCTAAAAACCTCCAAACTTCATGGTGCCTTCAGATTGGCACAACAGTGTGTAGAGAGCTTTATGGAATGGGTTTCCATGGCCAAGCAGCTGCATCAAGGCCTTACATTACCAAGTGCAATGCAAAGCATCAGATGCAGTGGTGTAAAGCATGCTGCCACTGGACTGTAGAGCAGTGGAGACATGTTCCCTGGAGTGACGAATCACACTTCTCCGTTTGACAATCCGATGGCCTGGGTTTGGTGGTTGCCAGGAGAACGGTACTTGCACCTGACTGCAATCTGCCAAGTGTAAAGTTTGGTGGAGGGGGGATTATGGTGTGGGGTTGTCTTTCAGGGGTTGGGCGTGGCCCCTTAGTTCCAGTGAAGGGAACTCTTAAGGCGTCATCATACCTAGGTATGTTGCACAATTTCATGCTCCCAAGTCTTGACCTCAACCTGATAGAACCCCTTTGGGATGAATTAGATCGCAGACTGTGAGCCAGGCCTTCTTGTCTGACATCAGTGCCTGACCTCATAAATATGCTTCAGGAAGAATGGTCAAACATTCTCATAGACACACTCCTAAACCTTGTGGACAGCCTTCCCAGAAGAGTTGAAGTTGTTATAGCTGCAAAGGGTGGGCCAACTCAATTGAACCCTACGGACTAAGACTGGGATGCCAGTAAAGTCCATGTGCATGTAAAGGCAGGTGTCCCAATATTTTTGGCAATATAGTATATATATATATATATATATATATATATATATATAATTTTCTTCTTTTCCCCCTGACTGGGTTTCTCTTTTCAAATTGTAAATGCATGCAACAATTAATAAAAACATAACAGCTTTAAAAGAAGGCTATATAATTCACATTTAACTAAACATTTAAATTATTACAGAAACATTTTTCTTCAGTTATTTTTTAATGAAATTTAAATATTTACATGCCTGCTGTTCTGTATTTTAATTTCATTCTTTCTTTCTTTCGTTTGTGCATTTGTATATTCCTTCTAGTGGCTGAGCTACTGATCCTTGAGGGTCCATTCACACTTGCCCGTACACTAAACTGAGCTGTCTGTTTTGGGCTGCAGTGACATAGGGCAGGGGGGTGGTTTGATGGGTGTTTTACAGCATCTTACCATTACCCTTTTTTTTTTTTGCAACTTTACTTGAAGTGCACAGAATGACACTTCATTCATGTCACCAAACCAAAAAGTGGTGCACTGTGCTTTTGTGCAGTGAAATGGGGTGCCATCCAGTGAGGTGCAATAATATGTCTGCATATTATCGCACTTCCGAGCTGCATTGTAGTGAAAATGGGGCATGTATAAAACAAATGTTTTCAATGTATCTTAGCAGTAACTGGTGATTTCCACTGCGTTAGTGTGAATAGAACCATAATGCTATCTGTGTTCCATTGGGGAAATGTCCCTTTAATTCCCATTCTGCAGATGTAAAAGGAAGCAACAGAAATATTGTACAATGTGAAGGGAATTGCCCAACAGTTGTCACCAGAACAAGTGTCTTCACTGGAAAATATATCCTTAGCTCTTGTTCTGGTGACAACTGTAAAGTGTTAAATTTCCCATCACTTTCTGTCTCAGACAGATAGAAAAGGTGATTCTACCTAGTTGATTCACAGACAGTATTAAAAACCTCAGAGGATAAAATCCTTCCCTTCTCTATCCAAAACCAAAATAAAAACAATTGGCTACACATAAACTTTAAAGACATGAAATGTGAACCAATGGGGGGGCTGTTAATGCTCCATTCCAGTTGATCTGAGCTGTAAATTCATGGCAGATACCTTAGAGCTGAATTTTTGACAAAGGTCTGGTTCAGAATTTATTATAATTGTGTATCAATGACTAAATATAGATGCAAGATATAGGCCATACAAGGTACAGGTCAAACATCAAACTGGCTACTTTATAAAAGAGTGTGACTGCACATACTTTTTTGGAAGATTGAGGGACATCTACTTATAATTATTTTTGGGGGCTTATTAGATATATCTAGTTACTTATAATTGCTGTAGGTCAAGGAAAATGCAGCACCAGGCAAATAATTGATAGCATAACACCTGAGGTCAAAGAGGATAAAAAAATCTTTTTCAGGAAGACTTATCGTTAAATCTCCTTATGTCAATCACATGTTTTGTAATGTACACGGGGATAATAGCCTAGGAGAATACAACCAGAAAAATATGGGTCATTCATGTACAAAAATCTGAGGTCACAATCATAACTGGCAGTGGAGGAAAACTGAAGCTAAAGCTGAGCATAACAGCCAGCAAGGTTTCATTTTTAAAATGCAGCAATTAATTTGGTCCTCCTTCCTGGCTAGCAGGGATAGCGCCAAGGAATTCTGTGCTATATTGTGCCCTTGAAATGTATGTAAACCTAAAATCTATTTTTGGTATGTTTAGCATCATGCCGCTCAGTATACCGTTTTCTTAAGCAAACTGTTTTCTTTTTTGTTTTTGTTTTGTTTTTTTTTTTATTAAATCTGCCACCAACTTTGTTACCTGGAGATACTGCAAATAACAGCACATCCTGTTTCAAGCTGACAACATGTAATAAGTGTGGGCATTTTCATCCTGCAGTGTGAGCTCCTTCATTTGGCCAATGCATAGTTGCCAACACTCCTGGATTTGTGCTGGGGGACAATCAGTGGTTTAGAGGAGTCACAGTGCTGCAGGTACATCTGAGATGAAGAGGGTTTGTAGTGTTGAGGGTATCTGGGGTGTAGAGGGGTCACTGTACAGGTGGTGTAAGGGGTCACAGTGCTGGGGGTATCAGGAGTGTAGCGGGGTCACAGTGCTGGGGGTATCAGGAGTGTAGCGGGGTCACAGTTCTGGGGGTTTCAGGAGTGTAGCGGGGTCACAGTGCTGGGGGTATCAGGAGTGTAGTGGGGTCACAGTGCTGGGGGTATCAGGAGTGTAGTGGGGTCACAGTGCTGGGGGTATCAGGAGTGTAGCAGGGTCACAGTGCTGGGGGTATCTGAAGTGTAGCAGGGTCACAGTGCTGAGGGTATCTGGGATATAGGGAGGTCACAAGGCTGGGGGTATCTGGGATATAGGGAGGTCACAAGGCTGGGGGTATCTGGGATATAGGGAGGTCACAATGCTGGGAGTATCAGGCATAAACCTAAAATGAGTAGCACTGCTGAAAATAAATGATAATGTGCAGAAAATTAATAAAACTAAAAATGCATGAATGATTGTGCATTGATAAAGGATTTAAAAAATGTCATGAACCACATGCTAGAGATAGATACCAGACTTCCTCATGTGTCACTTCCAGTCCGCATAGGTTTCATGGTGCTAACAGCGTGGACCGAAAGTGACACACACCAAAGTCCAGTATCTATATCTAGCACTTGGTTCATGGCATTTTTTTAATATATATTTATTGTGTAAGAGCAATTCTTTAATAAATCTGTTGGTTTTATGATATTACTACACTATGGGAGCCCTTTTCTGTGCTTATTCTGTTGAGAGCTCTGACTATGGCTGCAAACATATTTAAAACACCCTTAAAAGGTACAAGCTCCTCAGATATTGTTTGGTGATGTAAGTTGGTATTCCCAGGGAAACCCCTGTGGAGGGAGGCTGAAGTGGAACCTTGGACAATCTGGTCATATATGCTAGTTGATTTGAATTGGAGGTGAGAGTTCTGGGAGCCTAGAGGGAGCACGTTGTGTTCTGAAATACAGATAGCATTTGTGATTCACAATCAGTGTGGGATATAATATATTCACATATGACAAGATATATCTGAAGAAATTGTATAAATGGACTGCACTATGAACTTTATTGTTTCATTTGGTTTTATAATGGAGTTTTAAATGCATGGATGAATACTGGTAATGTTTTTTTTCATTCTAAATTCTATATGTAAAGGTATTGCACTTCATTCATGGATTTTTAGTTTTATTAATTTTCTGCACATTATCATTTATTTTCAGCAGCACCACACTAATTTTAGATTTATATTTGCTTATATTTGTTGGAACACAAATCAGTGTTTTAGCAGAAGCTGATTTATTATTATTATTACACACACTCACATTTGGTAACATGTTTACTGTATGTATATTTACTGATTGCACAGGAGGTTCACTCCGTCACTACAGGAGAGTATCAGGGTCACAGTGCTGGGGGTATCAGGAGTGCATAGGGTTACAGTCCTGGGTGTATCTTGGATACAGGGAGGTCACAATGCTGGGGGTATCTAAAGTGCATAGAGTAATAGTTCTGGTGGTGTCTGAGATACAGTCACAGTGCTGGGGGTATCTGGTGTTTAGAGGGATCACAGTACTAGAGGGTTATCTAGGGTTTTGAAGGGGTAATAGTGCTAAGAGTGTACCTTGGGTGTAGTGGTGGTAACAGTGCTGGGGGGAAATCTGGGCTGTAGGGGATGTAGAGGGTTCATAGTGTTGGGGGTATCTGGGGTGTATAGGGGGGGTCACAGTGCTAAAGATATAAAGGGTGTAGCAGAGTTACAGTGCTGGGTGTATCTGGAGTGTATAGGGTACCAGTGCTGGTGGTATCTGGGATATAAGGAGGTCACAGTGTTTCGAGTATCTGGTGCGTGTATAGGGCTCATAGTGCTGGAGGGGTATCTACTAGGGTTTTGAAGGGGTAATAGTGCTGGGGGTGTAGAGATGGTAACAGTGTTGGTAGGAAATCTGGGCTGTAGGGGGTGCAAAAGGCTCATTATGTTGGGGGTTCTGGGGTGTATAGGGGGTCACAGTGCTAAAGGTATAAAGGGTATAGAGGAGTCACAGTGCTGGGTGTATCTAGAGTGCCCAGGGTAATAGTGCTGGGAATATCTGGGATATAAGGTGACAATTCTGGGGGGTGTCTGGGGTTTAGAAGAGGTAACAGTGCTGATGGTGCATTCATGGCGTAGATAAGGTAACAGTGCAGGGTGGATATCTGGGATGTAAGAGAAGTAGGAGTGCTGTGGGCATCTGGGATGTAGAGTTGTTATAATGCCACTAGGCTGCCCATCTGATAAACCTGATAGGCTACCCAAAGGTCATTTGAAGCAGTTTATGTGACAGGCTGACACACGTTCTGACTTTCATTTAAATATGCAAAGAAATTATACGAATTCCCCTCCCCTGATGACATGTGACACGCAGGCCTTCTGACTGGCTGCTGTGTTTTCTGTGTGTCCCCAAGCCTAGAAGTACTGGGTTTTCCATGTATCTGTGGCAGCATATTGGCACTGAGTGCAGCCAATACATAGGTAGACACCTTACAATGCCTACTACCAACCTACAGTGTTCATTTTAATACACACAATAACAGATGGATGCCAAAGAAAATATTCAAGTGGTTAATAACATGCAGGTATCTTAAATTAATGAAAAAAATATCTTTAGATGATTATAGAAACGTATGGGAAATCTGCAGTGGTTATAATAGACATTAGTAAGCAGTGACGAGCCCGTGTACTTACTGCAGCCAATTTCATCAGAGCTGTCTCTGCAGTCATCATAGTTGTCACAGGCATAGTGATGAGGAATGCAGTGGGAGTTGCCACATTTGTATTCGTCCTCTGTACATGGTCTAGGAGTAGGCGCTCTACCTAGAGAAGCAAGCCGAATAGATTATATCCTTTCATGTATTTACCGCTCATCCACAGAAATTTCTTACATAAAAAAATGATGGTAGACAACATTAAGTCACTAAAATAAATGCAAAAAAAGGCAGTAAACACTTAATCTCATTTATTAGCATATGAATAATAAATGACTGTCTACGTTGGGTCCGTGTATCTACAGGATTTAGATTCCAGCTGTCAGAAGATGAATGGTAATGGACAGCATGTTGACATAGGAGGCCCACTGCCTGATATTTATTTCGTTCCTTTCTTCTGTTTTCTAATGTCTCTCTTATAATACATTGGAAACCTACATAGACACCAGCTTGTAGATAATTGTCAGGCAGTTTTAGAATCAATATGGTAATGACTGGGCATGTACAGCCTGCATACAGATTTCCTGTCCATGTATAGATTATGCAGTCATTATACCAGTGTTAATTGTTCTTCTAGAATGTGAAGCTTTTACATATCATAGCACTGGTGGATTGAACAACATTTGCATGAAGGTAATTTAAAGCTGAACTCTGGCTCTATCTTGTCTTGTACAGTTGTACAGGCACCTCTCCTGTACTGAAATTGCTTACTGTGATTTCACCGCACACTGTGAGCTTCTCACATTGTGCATTAGAAGCTGCAGCTAGTCAAATAGAGCCTGTATACTTTCTTGGCTTGAGAACATCCAGTATCATCTAAAACCCTTCCTATATGGCTTCAATGTCCCTATCCAGTCCCTTCCATTCATTTGATTAGGAATGCCCACTCATCAAGACTGACACTCACCCATCAAGACATTTTATATTTGTTCGCCTCAGGTCTGAGAAGTCCTGATTCAGGGTGCTCTGATGTTTTCAGGGAGCTATGTACAGCACCCTGCTAGCTCCCCCACCCCTAGGCATAAGCTGCCTGCATTACAGCAATGATGTCACAGGGTCTACAGTATGGTATGTGAAAAAGATTTATTTAACAAATCTAATGAACAAGTTTATGGGGGAGGGGCTAACAAAAAAAGGGGAAAATAGAAGCAGATCAAACTTCAGCTTTAAATGGTCTGTTCACTCTGCAAGGGACGTCACATTTGCCACCAGAAAATGCCAAGAGGAGAGTTCACCATCAACTTATGCCATGTGACCAGCATCTCCCCAATCAAAGAGTTCTCTTTGCTGTGCTAAGTAGTGAGAACTCCATGACATACTGCAGTCTCCACACCACGGCCTGCATTTTATAAATAGATTAACACTGCTGAGAGCAAATTTTCTCTGTTATAAATCTTAAATGTAAAACCAAAACTTGTTTGGCTTAAGTTGGAAATGGTTAAACCCCTAATCAGTTGTTTGGGTTTTTTCTTGCTGTGTCCCATTAGGGAGATTTTCCTTCACTTCCTGTCCTGGATATACAACAGGAAGTGAGGCAGAAATTCCATCTTATTCAATTGTCACCAAAAAAAATTTCCCCACTGGAAGCTTTCTCCATACTTCATGGTCCAGTAACAACTGTAGCATTCTAGATTTCCCATCTCTCTCTGTCGGAATGCTAATGGTCGCCAGGACAAATAGCAAAGGTGGATCACCCCAGTGTGAAAACAGACAATGAAAAATCCAAAAAGGTTTTGTCTAGAGGTACACTTCAGCTTTCTTTTTATTCCTTGGATAGAGTAGAAAAGGACCTCTTTTTAATGTTTTTATTGCAGTCACCAGTCAAGAGATTTCCCCCCACTTTCTGTCCAGGTGACGGTTGTCAGACACAACAGGAAGTGAGAGAAAATGTCTATTCTCTTGAAAACTGCATTTTTTAGTACCTATGTACTGCTTTTATAACCCTTGTTTTTTTGGGGGTGGGGGGGTTAAATAACATTCCATACTTACATTGTTCTTCTGCTTCATCACTTCCATCTCCACAATCATCCACAGTGTTGCAGACCTCATGTCTGTAGATGCAGCGGTTGTTTTGGCACCGGAATCTGAATGGAGGATCACAAGGGATGTCCACTGTGTAGTATAAACAGCAAATTAGAATACAAATTGTTATGGAATCTGTTCAACAAGAACACAATCTGTAGTCTCTACTTACAGCAAAGGTTGAGCTCTTCATCTGAGTTATCTCCACAGTCATTGTCACCGTCACACTTCCAGTATGGTAGGATGCAGATATGATTGTCACACTCAAACATGGAGGGTGGGCAGTATGTACCATTGGGATAGCGTGTTGCTACAGATGAGAGATTTTATAGTGATGAGCATCCTGTACAGGCATAATTATGTATAAATACACAAATTATACACTACTAGACTGCCTATCACCCCTGTGTTTGAAAAAATGGGATTTTTGAACCCACCATAAAATCCCTTTCTCTGAGTTCATTGAAGGACACAGCTTTTCTTCATGATGGATGGGTTTGATGTAGCAACCTTCAGGAGCAGGATGCTAGGTGCAACTAAATCAACCACTTGCCCTCCAGAAGATTTACCCCCCTTCCTGACGAGGCCATTTTTTGCAATACGGCACTGCGTTACTTTAACTGACAATTGTGTGGTCATGCAATGCTGTTCATACATAAATTTAGAGCTTTCTTTTGGTGGTATTTGATCACCTCTGCGTTATTTATTTTTTGCGCTATAAACAGAAAAATACTGACAATTTTGAAAAACAATACAATATTTTTGACTTTTTGCTATAAAACATATCCAATAATAAAATGTAAAAAAAAAATTTCCTCATAAATATAGGCCAAAATGTATTCTGCTACATGTCTTTGCTAAAAAAAAATCCCAATAAGTGTGTATTAATTGGTTTACATGAAAGTTATAGCATCTACATATGGCGGTATATATACTGGAATTTTTAGGGTTTTTTTTATACTAGTAATGAATGCGATCAGTGACTTATAGCAGGACTGCGGCAGCCAATCTGAAACTGGGGGGGAACTTAATAACTGCCACTGACATCTCCAGTGACACTAATACAACGATCAGTGCTAATAAAAAGCATTGACACTTTACTAATGACACTGGGCAGGAAGGGGTTAACATCTGGGGCTATCAAAGGATTAACTGTGTGTTAAGGAGTGGTTTTATTGTGTACTGTGTTGTGTTTCACTAAGCAGACCTGCTGCTTTCTATCTCTCTGCTGTGCTGAAAGATAGAAAGCAGTGCATCATGCTAACAGGAGATCTGTGTTGTTTACACACAGGTCTACCCCCTCTCAGCTTTGCTGACGATCATGAGTCCTACCCGGAAATGCAAAATTACGTATATTTATTTTGCCTAGCGAAGCCGCCCTGTAGCAATACATCTGCTATAGGGTGGTGGGTAAGTGGTTAAAAACATACCTATAGGGGCAGCCCTCTGGTGGTGGCCAACCCCCCCCCCCCCCCCCATCTGCAACACATAGTTCAGTTAGTAGCTAGCAGTAGTAAGACAATAATATAGAGAAAAAGGGACTAGGTGGGTGCTGTGTCCTTCAATGAACTCAGTGAAAAAAATATGGTGAATACAGAAACTCCATTTTCTCTTTTTTTTCATTGAAGGAGACAGCTTTTCTTTATGACAGAAGGGGCTTTCTAAAGCATTGCAAGAAAGAAGAAGGGTGGGTGTAAAAATAAAAACAAGACAATAGGGAACCACATCCCAGCAGAACTCAAACTGCTGCCTGCAGAACCTTCTGACCAAAGCTGGCATCTGCTGAGGTAGCTGCATCAACTCTGTAGAACTTGGTTAAGGTATAAACAGATGATCAGGTAGGCACCTTGAAAACATGAACAACAGAAGCAGAAAATGGGAAAATGCCCAGGACGCGATAAGTACCCAGGTAGACTACACAATTACTAGGAACGGGGCTTCTCGGTCCGACAGGGCATAGGCCTGGATCACTGTTCAATTTATTCATCCAGAAATAGTGGAAGACGAAGCAGCTTTACTGTGTCAACGACCATCCGGAACGATGTATGGGGAGTCAAATTTCCAAATGGGGGCTTTAGCCAAGTGGTAGACTCTAATGGCTCTAACCACATCTACACAACAGAGAGCCACTTCTCTCAGGTAAGAGAGATACAGCTACAAGATAGGGATATTGAGCTTTGTGTTTAAAGATCCTGGTGGAGGGACCATTCCCCCTGGACTTTGGCAAATGAGATAGTTCCTTTGCCAGTTCTCCACCCCCCGGAATGTGAACTGCCAATACAGCTGGCACATGCAGCTCTGCCCAATCGAGATTTTGAGACACCTCTAGGGCTACAGCCGAGCTCCTGGTGCCCCCTTGGTGATTGCTGTAGGCCATGAGGCATTGTTCAATTGTACCCTGATCGGGTAACCCTGGAGTAGGGTTGTCCAATCGAAGAGAGAGAGAGACAGAATGCCCAAAGTTCCAGAATGTTTATGGGGAGAATGGTCTCTTCTCGAGACCAATGACCCTGAACGGATAGAGGAATCCATCACACCTCCTCCCCAGAACAGCTCTGCATCCATGGTAATGTGAGAGGGAGAAAGAACTTCCCAGCTGACAAGAGAGGAGATCAAAGCCACCAAGTCAAGCATGCCTTTACTGAATGAGACAGGGGAATGAGCTGATCCATGAGCCTGGAAGTCTGTTCCACTTGATCAGAATCTCTCTCTGACAAAATTTGGAATGATGTTGTGCGTAAGCGACCACTTCAAAGGAAGCCGCCATGAGGCCTAAAATCCTTGTGCAAAAACAGATCCAAGTGGTCCACAAAGAAATTAGACAAAGGATCCAATGACACAGATTCAGAATTTTCTCCTGTGGAAGGAAAATCATTTGTGTCACATTGGTGAGATTTCCCTTCACTTCCTCTCCCATAGCCAAGACAGGAAGTGAGAGAAAATCCCTCCAAAGTAAGGGAATCCCAGGGTGTCACTAAGGTCACCAGAACTAGTGTCCCCATTAGATGAATTCCCCTCTATTACTGTTCTGGGGTCTACCCAAAATTTGGGGTTCTCTTTTACTTTTAATATTAACTGTAAACAGGACAAACACAGACCATGACTCTCCCTTATGTGTACCGCTGCCACTTGACAATGTTGCCTATTCTACATCTTTTGTAAAACACCTTTCAATAAGAACTATAGGAAATTAAATGAAAAGTAAACCATTGTGCCCAACCAGAAGAATACTTATGGTCCTAGGGGTAAACCTGGGACTTGTAGTTCTCCAACGAAGAATCTTCAAAAGGAGGGACAACCACTTCTGATCCTACATCAATCCAGGTGGTGTTGGCCTATATGCGGTGCAGCAGCAAAAGCACCCAGTCTAGCCGACATACGCATCCGCCAAGAGTCATTAAAGCCAATCCCCCCTATAATGGGAAACTGCATGCACTCATTGGCAGTGCTGAGAGGGCTATCCAAAACTATAATATCCGACCTGGTACCTAGCACCATGGTGGATTGAAGAGAAAAAAATCTTCATAGAAAAATAAAAATAGAATAAAGGAAGAGAAAAGAAATTGTAGGTCCTACTCCTAGGGATGCTAGGAAAAAACAGGACTCTGTGTTGCAGATGGAGGGGTTTGGCCACCCCCAGAGGGCCATCCTTTAGGACAGAAAACTGGCTAAAAGATCGTATTCAGAGAGTAGTGTTTAATGATTCATACTCTGAATGGTCTAGGGTTGTCAGTGGTGTACCTCAAGGTTCAGTGTTGGGACTCTTACTTTTTAATATATTTATAAACGATATAGGGCCTGGGATTAAAAATACTGTTTCAGTCTCTGCAGATAACACCAAGCTGTGCAGTGGAATAATGTCCTTACAGGATGTCTCCAACTTTCAAGCCGACCTCAATGCACTGTTTAATTGGGGAACTATGTGGCAAATGAGGTTTAATGTTGATAAATGTAAGGTGATGCACTTAGGGCTAAGAATATGCATGCATCATACATACTAGGGGGGTTACAACTGGGGGAATCAATGGTGGAGAAGGATCGGGGAGTTCTGGTAGATCACAAGCTTAATAATGGCATGCAATGCCAAGCTGCGGTTTCTAAAGCGAGCAAAAGCCTCACTTGCATTAAAAGAGGTATAGACTCCAGAGAGAGAGATATATCATTTACCCCTGTACAAATCATTAGTAAGACCTCATCTGGAATATGCAGTTCAGTTTTGGGCCCCAATTCACAAAAAGAACAGAGAAGAACAACCAAACTGATAAGAGGCATGGAGGAGCTCAGCTATGAGGAAAGATTAGAGGAACTAAATTAATTCTCTCTTGAGAAGAAGAGATTAAGGGGGGATATGATCAACATGTATAACTACATCAGTGGGTGGTTCATATAGTGAACTCAGTGTAGAGTTAATCACCCTGAGGTCATCACAGAGGACAAGGGGGCACTCTTTACGTCTTGAGGAAAAGAGATTTATTCTCCAAACACGGAAAGGTTTCTTCACAGTAAGAGCTGTGAAAATGTGGAATAGACTCCCTCAAGAGTTGGTTCTGGACTGCTCAGTGGATTGCTTTAAAAAAGGCCTGGATTCTTTCCTAGGTACACACAATATAACTGGATACTAACATTTATAGGTAAAAGTTGATCCAGGGAATATCCGATTGTCTCTCTGCAGAAGCAAATTGGATCATGCTTTGCTGGGTTTTTTTTAACTTCCTCTGGACCAATGGTGGGTATAGGATTATAACTTTTTTCTTTTTTGGTTGAACTAGATGGAGTTTTGTCATTTTTCAGCCAGGCTAACTATGTACTGTAACTATGTATGCTTTTAATTTAGTTGCACCCAGCATCCTGCTCCTGAAATTAAAAAAAAAAAAAAAGTTATTCTTATCTGCTCTGTGCAAGGATATTTCACAGAGGGGAATTACCTCCTCTTCTGGGTCCCCCAACAGCAGTGCATGGTCTATTTGCTTTTAGTAAATCACTCCATAAAGAGTCATTACAAACCACAGCCTGGGAATTACTAAGCTTCCTGCTCAGGAAATTATCAGGAATGGCGTACACTATTTTAACTAAGTAGACCGAACTGTTTCAGGTCTATCTGCTCCACCAGTGTCAGTATCTATTTCACAGTAAAAAAGAAATTAGTGCAGGTCAGCCCTTAATTAACAGAGGGAATGCAGCAGATAGAGAACTGCTGCAGATTCCCGCCAGCTGTGATCTGTCGTATGGGATATGAGCTGTCAGCAGGGAGACTGAATCATGCAGCTTCCGCTCTCATGTTCTCTGTGCTTCCTTCCATAGACACGACAGAACAGAGAACTGATTGCACCCCTTTTGTTAATTAGGAACAGCATCTGCTCCATATTTTATGTTGCTCCCACAACTCTGTTAATTCTGCAGAACATGTCTAAAAATGTACGTGGATACACGTTAACATAACACTGCATTTGTTTTTCAATGAATAAAGCCCTGAAGGCATTTGATTACAAAAGGCAAACCACATAAACAAATTTTGTTTTGACACTCACGGCAAGCATCTTCATCTGAAAAGTCCAGACAGTCTGCTGTTCCATCACAACGAAAGCGCTGAGCAACACAGTGTCCACTTCTGCATTGGAAATATCCAGGATGGCAGGTCCTCATTTCTGAACACAATGAACAACAGAGAGATTTATTGTCATTTTAATGATGAGTAACCAAAATGCCTAACTGAACTTTTAGTGTGTGTGTATATATATATATATATATATATATATATATACTGCGCAAAAAATTAAAGGAACATTTTTTTTTTTAATCAGAATATAGCATCAAGTCACTTAAACTCATGGGAGATTGATCTGGTCAGTTAAGTAGGTAGTAGAGGGGGTTGTTAATCAGTTTCAGCTGCTTTGGTGTTAATGAAATTAACAACAAGTGCACTAGATGGGCAACAAAGATGACCCCCCAACACAGGAATGGTTTTACAAGTGAAGGCCAATGACATTTTTTCCCTACTTATCTTTTCTGACTGTTTTTCACTAGTTTGGCATTTGGCAAAGTGTCACTACTGGTGGCATGGGGCGATACCTGAACCCTACAGAGGTTGCACAGGCAGTCCAACTCCTCCAGGATGGCACATCAATACGTGCTATTGCCAGAAGGTTTGCTGTGTCTCCCTGAACAGTCTCAAGAGCATGAAGGAGATTCCAGGAGACAGGCGGTTACTCTAGGAGAGCTGGACAGGGCCGTAGAAGGTCCTTAACCGATCAGCAGGACCGGTATCTGCTCCTTAGTGCAAGAAAGAACAGGATGAGCACTGCTAGAGCCTTACAAAATTACCTCCAGCAGGCACTGGTGTGAATGTCTCTGACCAAACGATCGGAAACAGACTTCATGAGGGTGGCCTGAGGGTTCGACATCCTCTAGTGGGCCCTGTGCTCACTGCCCGGCACCATAGAGCTCAATTGGCATTTGCAATTGAACCCCAGAATTGGCAGGTCTGACACTGGTGCCCTGTGCTTTTCACAGATGAGAGCAGGTTCACCCTGAGTACATGTGACAGACGTGAAAGGGTCTGGAGAAGCTGTGGAGAATGTTATGCTGCCTGTAACATCATTCAGAATGTCTGTTTTGGTAGTGGGTCAGTGATGGTCTGGGAAGGCATATCCATGGAGGGACGTACAGACCTTTACATGCTAGACAATGGCAGTCTGACTGCCATTAGGTATCGGGATGAAATCCTTGGACCCATTGTCAGACCCTACGCTGGTGCAGTGGGTCCTGGGTTCCTCTTGGTCCACGACAATGCCCGGTCTCATGTGGCGAGAGTATGCAGGCAGTTCCTGGAGGATGAAGGAATTGATACCATTGAATGGCCCCCATGCTTGCCTGACCTAAATCCAATAGAACACCTCTGGGATATCATGTTTCAGTCCATCTGATGCCGCCAGGTTGCACCTCAGACTGTGCAGGAGCTCAGTGATGCTCTGGTCCAGCCGTCTTCTCATTAGCAGCAAGCCCTGATGTTATCAAGCATGCATGCAAGCACGTGTAGTCATACAAACTATTGAGTACCATTTTGAGTTGCTGCAATGAAATTTCAACAAAATGGGCTAGCCTGCTACATCATTTTTTCAGTTTGATTTTTGGGGTGTCTGAATTTGGTCCTCTGTAGATTGATAATTTTCATTTCCATCATCCTTACGTTACTAACACATTACCTAGTCCATACCACTATAGATGTCCAGCATGATATTTTGAGATCTGATGTTTTTTCAAAGAGTTCCTTTAATTTTTTTGAGCAATGTATATTATAACTCATAAGGAATTTACTTTGTATTCCCAAGAACCATGTGTTATTTACATACCACAGTCTCTTTCATCTGAGTTATCTTCACAGTCATTATCATGGTCACAGAGCCAGCGGCTAGGAACACAGTGCAGATTATCACATTTGAATTCACTTTCTGTGCACTCTCGAGGACCTGCAGGAAGTATTTGAGATAGAATACATAAATACATGCCTTAAAATATGCACTGTACTGCCCCCAATCACTGCAGGAAAGGCTGTAGACTAAAAAAAACCTAGAAGAATACCTATATAAATTGTGGTTAGTAACCAATTTGACAATCATTCGATTCTTTTCCACTATCTACAAGTGTCAGCTGAATTTGCCCATAGATTCACCAGATCAGACCAGCCATTCCCTTAACATATGTGTGAACCGTTCTTCAATCATGAATCCATTTCTACGGAACATTTGTTGTTTTTGTATTGAGGACAACAGTACATTTGCCATTCCCATCAGTACTTCACCTCTAATTTCTACAAAGAAATCTCACACTCAGTTTAAGTGGAACTAGAAACAAATATACAGTATTTATCTTTGCTGCACCTCCTAAAGGATCTCAATTTCCATTCATGGGAGTCGTTACATAATATGCAATTGATTCTTAAAGACACTTAAAGGTGGAATTTGTGGAATTTAGAATCACGGAATATAAGAGACTCACATTAAATATTGATACAATATTGTATATAAAATCTTGGAGAAGGATTAAACACGTTTAAAGAGAAATAACACCACAGAACGCTTGCATATTTTAGGTTGCCTACGTACAGTATAACACATTTAATTGCAAGGTCTTTCCTTATTATTATCATCACATTTGGTTTCATTTATGCACATGAGATTGGTGAATGGAGATTTGGATCCTAGAGGAGGCACAAAAAGAAAAACACATTATTTTGTTTGCAACCTTCACAATGGGTATTAATACTGGTAATTATAATTGTGGTATAAGGAGCATTACCAGGTAATGCAGGATTGCCATCCCACAATATTAAGTGGAACTAGGGTCTAATATTTAGACTCTAGTTCCACTAGAGTGGAAAATAAACCTACCTGCTCATAGAAAATAAACATGAAAATAAACCTACCAGCCTGCAAGAAAATAAACCTACCTGCCTGTTCCCAGTCTTCGGTAGAATGTACACTGAGCTCCACATGCACAGCTCAGTTTATATTCTGGCATGGTGCCTGTGTAGTGAGCTGACTGCACTGCTGCATATGCATATGCCAAAGACCGACAGATGGAAGAAGCCGGGTAGAGGATGCTGGTGCCAGCACTGGACCGTTGAAGCAAAGGTGAGTATAGCTGAGTTTAGTTTGCTTCACGTTGACATTGGATTTCACATTTACTACGACTTTTACTTAATTTGTAAATGCTGACATTAGCCCTCTGCACCTAGTGCTGCAGTTATATTTCTAAAGCTAGCTATACATTGTTAGTTTTTTTTTTTATTCAACCAGCGGGGGAAAAGATTCCTCCATCCACACAAACAAGGTGGATGGAGGGATCCTCCCACCAGAATGATGTATTCTGACAGCAATACACAGCACTGTCACAATACACTGTCAACAAACAGGTCCCTTCCCCCCTTCAACAGAAATCAGTCAAACGGTCAACTTCTGTTGAGTGTGGATAGCCAAATGCTGATCAAAATTCGGTCAGTGTATTGCCAACTTTGGGACAGGCTTGGGATGTCTGGTGAATTCTAATGCTGGCATGAATCTTTTCTTAAATAGCAGCTTCTAGGGGAGATCCAAAATGAGATGTTCATCTTTGCTCTTGGCTGCCAATTGCACCTATGGACATAGTAACACAACATCAATGCATTGGCTCTCTGTGGCTATAGTGGCTGTTCCCTTTAGACTAGTAAAGGGAAAGGGCTTGTTGTTGGGCAGAGACCTGAACTTAGCAAAAATCATAAAACTTCTAACTGGATCAACATTTCAAGGAATATCTTACTGCAGTTGCGCTCATCAGATCCGTCTCCACAATCGTTGTCGCCATCACACTTCCAACGCAGAGGAATACAACGATGATTTTCACAGCGAAAATCTCCCAGAGGATCACATGTTCTTTGTTCTGCAAATTCCAATCATTCATGGTTAGGATTTGCTGGCTCCACCACCATAATGATTAAATAAGTATTTTGTTAAGCCCTAAATGGTTTAATGATGATAGGCATACAGCCTATCAGAGTCAATATTATACAATTTTACTGCAAGCGAAACCACTGTACTCTCTTCATATGTATAAACCAATAAGTGTGGATTACAAACTGACAGCATAATTGCATTCTAATTCAGTAATAATACAGAATCTGTAGCTCAAGCAGCCTGAGAATACATCACATTAAATATACCTGTATACAAAGAATGCACTTTGATACTTTCTGTGAACTTTGTGCCATATTCTGTAAATGAGTTTTGGCTAATTCTGAATTTATGGTGTAGGACAGACTACATACTTTAATAGGACAGTGCAAAATATAATTGCAGTGACTTGTATAATTATCCTCCCCACTGGACCATTTGGAAACTCAGGCACTGCCTGAGGGCCCAGGGTCAGTAGGGGGCCCCATGAGATGCCCCTGGTACCCTTTTCATATCTTTTTTGAGTTTGGGCAAGGACACAGGGGCCCCATGATCCCCTATTGCCAGGGGCCCAAATGAGTTGTCAGTCTGCCCCTGGGTATGTACCATCCCTTATGCTGATTTTTTTTTTTTTTAAAGGTTTTGACTAAGATGCATTCACTATATCTGGTCTCCCACAGTACACAGAATATGGAAATGCAATTATTTTAGTAAATATATACTGCTAAATACCTTTCTCATCAGCAGTTAGAGCAGTCTTGTGACGTCTATCAGTTAATGTTACCCCAGTATTTCATATTCCTGATACTGCATGTGTTTGTTGCAACATGTACTTGTGTTAAAAAGTATTCTGTTCTCTTTGTATTGTGTAAAGGATTTCTTCCTTTGTTTGTGCCAGCCCGCCTGCTTTCCTATTCCTCTGAGTTTTCTGGCTGTGCTGGGAAAACAGACTGTCTATCCTCCAATGATCAGATTGTGCTGACGTGGCCCCTGCACAGCCATATTCTGAGAAGATTGTGTCCTGCTTTTCTCCACCCCTACCCCTCTAAGTCTGTAATGCAGCTCAGAACAGGGATTATGTTTTTTTTTTATATATATACACACATATGGTTTGTCTTTAATTTCTGTTTGAAACTGAATGGGTTGTTTTACAATGTATTCATTCACATATACTTTAAAGCGGAGCTTTATCCATAACAACCTAATAGTGTTCTGTAGCAAGGAACATACAGTCAGGTCCATAAATATTGGGACATCGACACAATTCTAACATTTTTGGCTCTATACACCACCACAATGGATTTGAAATGAAACAAACAAGATGTGTTTAACTGCAGACTGTCAGCTTTAATTTGAGGGTATTTACATCCAAATCAGGTGAACGGTGTAGGAATTACAACAGTTTGCATATGTGCCTCCCACTTGTTAAGGGACCAAAAGTAATGGGACAGAATAATAATCATAAATCAAACTTTCACTTTTTAATACTTGGTTGCAAATCCTTTGCAGTCAATTACAGCCTGAAGTCTGGAACGCATAGACATCACCAGATGCTGGGTTTCATCCCTGGTGATGCTCTGCCAGGCCTCTACTGCAACTGTCTTCAGTTCCTGCTTGTTCTTGGGGCATTTTCCCTTCAGTTTTGTCTTCAGCAAGTGAAATGCATGCTCAATCGGATTCAGGTCAGGTGATTGACTTGGCCATTGCATAACATTCCACTTCTTTCCCTTAAAAAACTCTTTGGTTGCTTTTGCAGTCTGCTTTGGGTCATTGTCCATCTGCACTGTGAAGCGTCCAATGAGTTCTGAAGCATTTGGCTGAATATGAGCAGATAATATTCACGAAACACTTCAGAATTCCTCCTGCTGCTTTTGTCAGCAGTCACATCATCAATAAATACAAGAGAACCAGTTCCATTGGCAGCCATACATGCCCACGCCATGACACTACCATCACCATGCTTCACTGATGAGGTGGTATGCTTAAGATCATGAGCAGTTCCTTTCCTTCTCCATACTCTTCTCTTCCCATCACTCTGGTACAAGTTGATCTTGGTCTCATCTGTCCATAGGATGTTGTTCCAGAACTGTGAAGGCTTTTTTAGATGTCGTTTGGCAAACTCTAATCTGGCCTTCCTGTTTTTGAGGCTCCCCAATGTTTTACATCTTGTGGTGAACCCTCTGTATTCACTCTGGTGAAGTCTTCTCTTGATTGTTGACTTTGACACACATACATCTACCTCCTGGAGAGTGTTCTTGATCTGGCCAACTGTTGTGAAGGGTGTTTTCTTCACCAGGGAAAGAATTCTTTGGTCATCCACCACAGTTGTTTTCCGTGGTCTTCCGGGTCTTTTGGTGTCGCTGAGCTCACCGGTGCGTTCCTTCTTTTTAAGAATGTTCCAGTTGTTTTGGCCACACCTAATGTTTTTGCTATCTCTCTGATGGGTTTGTTTTGTTTTTTCAGCCTAATGATGGCTTGCTTCACTGATAGTGACAGCTCTTTGGATCTCATCTTGAGAGTTGACAGCAACAGATTCCAAATGCAAATAGCACACTTGAAATGAACTCTGGACCTTTTATCTGCTCATTGTAATTGGGATAATGAGGGAATAACACACACCTGGCCATGGAACAGCTGAGAAGCCAATTGTCCCATTACTTTTGGTCCCTTAACAAGTGGGAGGCACATATGCAAACTGTTGTAATTCCTACACCGTTCACCTGATTTGGATGTAAATACCCTCAAATTAAAGCTGACAGTCTGCAGTTAAAACACATCTTGTTCGTTTCATTTCAAATCCATTGTGGTGGTGTATAGAGCCAAAAATGTTAGAATTGTGTTGATGTCCCAATATTTATGGACCTGACTGTACATTCCACATTAATAATTATTCTACCAAAATTATTGTGTGCTGTAAAGGGCCTCCTTGCATTCTTCATGTGTCTTCTTGCTGAGCATTAGCATTTTATTGAAGCCTGGAGCCCCTGAGCAGCAGTAAATCTTTTATATTTGCATTTTATATTTTTGGCATAGTGCCTAGAAATAGAGAGAAACTGAGCATGTGCATAGCAGGGTGAGACAGTGCATTATTGGATTTTAAACAGTATAGGCATTTATTTTAAATGCCTTACATAGTTATACCTGCAAAAAGGGGCAGTCTGAATGGCTCTTTCAGGACTTTATTTTCTAATAAAAGTTCCACTTTAAGCTTCAAATCCACAATTAAAACACAGGAAGAATAAGACAAAAACTCAACTCTGCCTAGAGTAGGCCATCTACTATATCCCACTAGCCAGAGCAACAGAGAGATCTATGGTAATGCTGAAAGTGCCACAGCAATCCAGAACTGTAACGAGGGAAACCTTCTATGAGAAAACCATATTCTGGACATTCTAGGTTTTTTAGAATGATGGGGAACAAACGAAAACCTATATCAGAGCCAATATGTAGTTTGTGATACAGAGCAAACATGAAAAAAAGGTTTTCTAGTTATCTACGGGCTCTTTAAATGTACTTGTTCAATTCTCATCCCTGCAGGAGATTGTGGCTTGCGGACATGCATATGTATAGGAAAATGGAAACATAAAGGTAGTACCGTAATTGCAATTCTGCTTAACTGGTCAGATTATATTAAACAATGAAGATATAATATGCATGATTCTCTAACAATAGCTAACTTACCACAATCCTGCTCATCAGAGTTATCCCTGCAGTCATCATAACCATTGCACACAGCCCAAAGTGGGATACAGCGGTAGTTTGTCTTGCAGTCAAAATCAGTATGATTGTCGCAGCGGTAAGCAGGGCCCACTAGGAGAAAGATGTGAGCAATGCATTATTTCTAAATATTAAGCATGTATAAAGATATTTTTTAACTGCTAAGTTGCCAACATCTTCTTTATCTCCCTCAAAAACCAGCCATTTCTAAGGATCCAGAACAATAAACAATCTGATGGCAATGGCTGCAGTACTTTCACAGTCCCTTATAACAAAGCAGCCAGCAATGAAGCCTTCTATATGTATATTATTGAATGAATACATTCAATATCATCAATGTTCAAAGAGTAATTCATATTAATATATTAGCAGATTTGTTTTTCCAAGCCTTTTGATTTCTCCAGACATGATTATATATGTGAAGTCTACATACGTGATTACATATGTGAAGGTTATGATCTAATGTGTTCATAAACTGCATGGGTGCAGACACCTACCAAAACAAATACATATTTGTGTGTAACTACCAAATGGGCACAATGGCAGATGTGGTCACAAAGGTGGCGATTTACTAACACTGATGCACTCCAATCAGCTTCTAACTTCAGCTTCTTCTATTAAGCTTTGCAAATAAAATCTGGAAGCTGATTGTTTTCCTTGCAGAGTTGCACCAGATTTTGCACACTCCATAGTAAATAACCCCCATAGTGACAATACCATACAGTCATTGGGTCCGATTATTTCAGAATTGGTCAAATTTAATTTTATAAAAGTAGAATTAAAGATGAGGTCGCCAAAACCCAATTCTGACCCACAACAGTCAGCCTGATTTTTTCTTTGTATAGCCACCCTGAACAGATTAGGATCTTGCTTACTGCATTCCTCCATTGGTTCATCAGAGTGATCACCACAGTCATCGTCTACATCACATTTCCAGCTCTGAGGTATGCAGCGTCCATTTTTACATTTAAACTGCCCTGGACTGCAGGTGCGGGTTGTACAGTGGGAGCTGTCCTCATCTGAGTTGTCTCCGCAGTCATCATCACCGTCACACTGCCAAGCCTCAGGGATACAGTGCTTATTAGCGCATTGCCACTGATGATCTTCACACTGGTGATTAGCTGCAGAAAGCATACTAATTACATAAAACTATTATAGATAACCAAAAGAATTATTGCTGAATCCATGTATCCAATGACTAATAAATAAGAAGTACAATTAGAGCCATTACATTCTAACATATGATGGGTATTCCTGAAGACAGTTTACGTTTTCCCTTACTTTTCAAATGCTCCATCACTTCAGAACATAAATGCAGGAGACAGAACTCCACCAAACTGATCATGTAATTTAATTCCAAGCTATTTGATGGCAAGTCACACCATGAGTCATCTTCTGAACAGCTTCTATTTGACTGAAGTTGAACTCATTGTGAGTGCAGTCTCTGCGTGCAATTAATTATAGTTCCTGAAATGTTGGAATTTTTTTTTTTTATGGTACATATGTATGACTGTCTGTGGAGTTTGTTTCCTTAATGTACTAATTATTCAACAAGAATTAGCACATAAAATGGAGTTTCACTCAAAGCTGTGACAACAGTTTTGCTGGGATGGAAAAATAAAGAGTAACAGAAAAGCTGAAAGAGTTACCTCTCCTGGAGATAATAATGTCCCTTCCAGTAGTAGTCACATGTGTGTAAGCCTTAGTACTTGCTGGTCCCATGATGTTGGTTGAAAAGTAGGATCAGCCAATCCAAACTTGGATCTTTGCCTTCATCAGAGGTAACTAGTCCAAGTGTCTAGGCCTTCACAGCATAAGTATTTGAGCCCTTTTATCATTTTCCATCCAAGAAAGACTGTTAAACTACTACAAATGAAAACCCTACTGTATAAGGGGTGCAAAAAATATAACAAAATTTACTTTACATACCACAAAGTATTGGATCTTCATCAGAGTTATCTGGGCAATCTTGATGAATGTCACACAAGAAGTGAACACTTGTACAGTTTCCATCATTGCACTGGAATTGTCCTATGGGGCAGTACCGATGAGGACACGAAGAGGGCTCATCTGAGCCATCCCGGCAATCTCGCTGACCATCACACTTCCACCAAATAGGGATACATCTGGAATATAAAACTACAATGTGAATTTCTTTGTGAATTACAAAAAACAAAATCATAAAATAGAGAATAACATACAGTCAGATCCATAAATATTGGGACATCGACACAATTCTAAAATTTTTGGCTCTATACACCACCACAATGGATTTGAAATGAAACGAACAAGATGTGCTTTAACTGCAGACTGTCATCTTTAATTTGAGGGTATTTACATCCAAATCGGGTGAACGGTGTAGGAATTACAACAGTTTGCATATGTGCCTCCCACTTGTTAAGGGACCAAAAGTAATGGGACAGAATAATAATCATAAATCAAACTTTCACTTTTTAATACTTGGTTGCAAATCCTTTGCAGTCAATTACAGCCTGAAGTCTGGAACGCATAGACATCACCAGACGCTGGGTTTCATCCCTGGTGATGCTCTGCCAGGCCTCTACTGCAACTGTCTTCAGTTCCTGCTTGTTCTTGGGGCATATTCCCTTCAGTTTTGTCTTCAGCAAGTGAAATTAATGCTCAATCGGATTCAGCTCAAGTGATTGATTTGGCCATTGCATAACATTCCACTTCTTTCCCTTAAACTCTTTGGTTGCTTTTGTAGTATGATTTGGGTCATTGTCCATCTGCACTGTGAAGCGGCGTCCAATGAGTTCTGAAGCATTTGGCTGAATATGAGCAGATAATATTGCCCGAAACACTTCAGAATTCATCCTGCTGCTTTTGTCAGCAGTCACATCATCAATAAATACAAGAGAACCAGTTCCATTGGCAGCCATACATGCCCACGCCATGACACTACCACCACCATGCTTCACTGATGAGGTGGTATGCTTAGGATCATGAGCAGTTCCTTTCCTTCTCCATACTCTTCTCTTCCCATCACTCTGGTACAAGTTGATCTTGGTCTCATCTGTCCATAGGATGTTGTTCCAGAACTGTGAAGGCTTTTTTAGATGTCGTTTGGCAAACTCTAATCTGGCCTTCCTGTTTTTGAGGCTCCCCAATGGTTTCCATCTTGTGGTGAACCCTCTGTATTCACTCTGGCAAAGTCTTCTCTTGATTGTTGACTTTGACACACATACACCTACCTCCTGGAGAGTGTTCTTGATCTGGCCAACTGTTGTGAAGGGTGTTTTCTTCACCAGGGAAAGAATTCTTCGGTCATCCACCACAGTTGTTTTCCGTGGTCTTCCGGGTCTTTTGGTGTTGCTGAGCTCATCGGTGTGTTCCTTCTTTTTAAGAATGTTCCAAACAGTTGCTTTGGCCACGCCTAATGTTTTTGCTATCTCTCTGATGGGTTTGTTTTGTTTTTTTCAGCCTAATGATGGCTTGCTTCACTGATAGTGACAGCTCTTTGGATCTCATCTTGAGAGTTGACAGCAACAGATTCCAAATGCAGATAGCACACTTGAAATGAACTCTGGACCTTTTATCTGCTCACTGTAATTGCGATAATGAAGGAATAACACACACCTGGCCATGGAACAACTGAGAAGCCAATTGTCCCATTACTTTTGGTCCCTTAACAAGTGGGAGGCACATATGCAAACTGTTGTAATGTCTAAAGGCACACAGTTTGTCTCACACCGTTCACCTGATTTGGATGTAAATACCCTAAAACCCTCAAATTAAAGCTGACAATCTGCAGTTAAAGCACATCTTGTTTGTTTCATTTCAAATCCATTGTGGTGGTGTATAGAGCCAAAAATGTTAGAATTGTGTCGATGTCCCAATATTTATGGACCTGACTGTATATAGATTTTTTGCCTAGCTCTATACAACAGGAGGTAAACAGGAATACTTATGATTCCCCCGTTTTAAAAGTAATTGCCTGAAATACCACAGTTTGGAACTTCAAAGCAAAAATCCCACTCATAATTACAAAGAATAAAATAGAGAAAGATTCCACTGATTTATGGAAAGTGAGCTTTTTTTCTCTTTTAGTTTTGTTCAGCTAGGTCAAGCTGGGAAAGTGTGGCTACACACAGGGGAAAAAAATAAAACTGCTGCATAGCTGGATGACATTTATATTCATGGGAGAAAACACAAGGTTTGTAAATTGTGCAAGATTATATCAGGGACATATTTTGTGATTTTTTTTAGGCACCACCAAACATGGGACTGTGTGTTTTGTGAATGGCCAGGAGAAGAGGGGATCGAGGCAGAGTGGCCTACATCAGAGTGGCCTGCATGTACAGTGATTGCTGTGCTAATCCCAACATCTAAACAAGCTGTTTTTCAGGACATACTGTATAAAAAAAGCCTGCATGATGAGGGGGTTCTTTTTTAGGCAAAGGTATGTTTTACTGCTTTAACCATGGTAAAGTTATCGTGCACAGAGATGGGCTTTGAGTAGAGTTATTTTTTTAACTCAAGTTTGTGCTCCCAAAAAGCATGCAGAAAGTTTATAATCTTAAAGATTCAGTGTGACCAACAATTAACAAGGCAACCTACCGTTCACTGTCAGAACACAGGAACTGAGTACTGGAACATGATGGGAGACAGCGCACAATGTTTCCAAACTGCATCGCCAGAAAATTGTCTGGACATTCACAGGAGTATCCCTGTCCTCCTTCCTTAATGAGACACAGGTGAGAGCAGCCACCATTGTTTCTACCACATGGATTACTCACTAAAAGAGAAAACCATTTCATTTCACTGTAAACATCTAACGTATTAAAAGAAACACAAAACGCCAACATATGAGAATATGAGAGTGATAACTAGAGATTAAATTACTTTCAGGGTTTCCGAATGATATCTGGAAACAAAATATTTTGTTTTTTTTCAGAATTTTAATAAGTTCTGTCTGGGTCCTCAAGTCCAGAGGTTTTGTAGAGCTTTAGAGGGGTTACAGCCTTCATTCCTAGGTCCACATTTTACCTGGTAGCCAGACCTCATTGTTAGTCTCTGCTGTGCACATGGCTTTATATCTGTGAGCTTACTGATACTCAGAGCTCTCTCTCTCTGTTTTGGGAGCCTGCTGGGTGAAAAGGCTAAATGCCAACAGAACACTAAAAGGTACTGAGTTGTTTGTTTTGGAGAACCCATTAAGCAGCACTTAGTTAGTCAGGAACTGACCTTAGTTTAGTTGGTTATACAGAGAAGCAGATGTTTTGCTTGTTTAATGCTATGGACTTGCTGTACAAAGCCCTTCTGCATTGAAACTGTGTTTGTTTTCTGCCTTGAAAAAAAGTGCAGGGCAAATCTGCTTGGTCTGTTCCTGGGTGACCCTGTCTCATGCATGATTAACTGCTGTCACTACCTGTTGAGCATGTCCCCTTACAATATATATATTCATTTTTTAAACAACATAAACCAGTTATTATGAACACTTCAAGAAACTTAACAAGTTCTCTTTATAGCCCATCTTCTCTGCTATTTTATTCCCTTTGCTCCCCTCCAGCATGCCAGTTGGAGCACTGTGAAATACCCAGTACTTCTTGGCATGGGAAAGCATGTGACTTTGAGTTAGCTTTAAACACTTAATGCTTATAAAGAGTTATATACTTATTCACTTGTGTGTATGAAATGCACCTTGCGCTATTGAGCTCCATAAACAACAAGCTTTTTTTTCACAAAAAAAATTGGAGATAAGGAGACCCTGGAAAATGGGAAAAAGAACTAAGAGTTCCACCAAATTGCTACAAATACAGTTGAAAATCGAAAAAATTTGAATTTCTTGCAAAAGTTCATTTATTTCAGTAATGCAACTTAAAAAGTGAATCTAATATATGAGATAGACTCACTACATGCAAAGCAAGACAGTTCAAGCCGTGATTTGTCATAACTGTGATGATTATGGCTTACAGCTCATGAAAACCCCAAATCCACAATCTCAGAAAATTAGAATATTACATGCACTCAATAAAACAAGGATTGTACATAGAACAATATGGGACCTCTGAAAAGTATAAGCATGCATATGTACTCAGTACTTGGTTTGGGCCCCTTTTGCAGCAATTACTGCCTCAATGCGGTGTGGCATGGAAGCTATCAGCCTGTGGCACTGCTGAGGTGCTATGGAAGACCAGGATGCTTCAATAGCGACCTTCAGCTCTTCGGCATTGTTCGGTCTCATGTCTCTCATCTTTCTCTTGGCAATGTCCCATAGTTTTCTCTATGGGGTTCAGGTCAGGCGAGTTTGCTGGCCAATCAAGCACAGTAATCCCACGGTCATTGAACCAGGTTTTGGTGCTTTTGGCAGTGTGGGCAGGTGCCAAGTCCTGCTGGAAAAAAAGTCAGCATCCCCATAAAGCTCGTCTGCGGAAGGAAGCATGAAGTGCTCCAAAATATCCTGGTAGACGGCTGCGTTGACCCTGGACGTAATGAAGCACAGTGGACCAACGCCAGCAGATGACATGAGTCACATGTCACATGACTCCCCAAATCAACACAGACTGTGGAAACTTCATACTGGACTTCAAGCATCTTGCAGTGTGTGCCTCTCCATTCTTCCTCCATACTCTGGGTCCTTGGTTTCCAAATGAGATGCAAAAGTTGCTTTCATCAGAAAAGAGGGACTTTGGACCACTGAGCAACAGACCAGGTCTGTTTTTCTTTAGCACAGGTAAGACGCTTCTGACGTTGTTTGTTGTTCAGGAGCGGATTGACAAGAGGAATATGATATTTGAAGCCCATGTCCAGGATCCGGATGTGTGTGGTGGCTCTTGATGCACTGACTCCAGGCTCAGTCCACTCCTTCTGAAAGTCCCCAACATTTTTGAATGGCCTTTTCCTGACAATCCTCTCCAGGCTGCGGTCATCCCTGCTGCTTGTGCACCTTTTTCTTCCACACTTTTCTCTTCCACATAACTTTCTATTAATGTGCTTTGATACAGCACTTTGGGAACATCCAACTTCTTTTGCAATTACCGTTTGAGGCTTTCCCTCCTTATGGAGGGTGTCAATGATGGTTTTCTGCACAACTGTCAGGTCAGCAGTCTTTCCCATGATTGTGATTCCTACTGAACCAGACTGAGAGACCATTTAAAGGCTCAGGAACCCTTTGCAGGTGTTATGGCTTAATTAGCTGATTAGAGTGGGACACTTTGAGCCGAGAATATTGCACCTTTTCACAACATTCTAATTTTCTGAGATTGTGGATTTGGGGTTTTCATGAGCTGTAAGCCATAATCATCACAATTATGACAAATCACGGCTTGAACTATCTTGCTTTGCATGAGTCTATCTCATATATTAGCTTCACCTTTTAAGTTGCATTACTGAAATAAATGAACTTTTGCACGATATTCTAATTTTTTGAGTTTCACCTGTAAATACTCTAAATATTAAAATGCAATATATCATACTTTGCTAACTAAAAAGATAATTACATTAAAATATGTATGTTTCAAGTCCTGACCATAACAAATTAAGAATATACAGTATACATTCCCTTTAAGACATGCATAGCTCTCTATTCTCTATGATTTTTTTTCTCTGTATTTCACACTTTTCTGGGAGTAAAACCCTACCTGGCCTAGGGTGACAATGATTACTCACTCTACTGTATCTGTGAAGAAGCAGTGTTGTCACCCTAGGACAGGAACTACAGAGCGCCTACTCTCCCCTTATCTCCTTAACATAGCTTCAGGTGATCTGTAGTCCACACTGCTAAACTGTGCAGGGTTGATATAAATGCTTGAGAAAACATTGAAAAGAACAAAGGACAGCATTAGATTTCATTCAGGATCAACAAGTATTTTGGCACTTATGGAAGAGATTTTAAAAAAATAACACTTTCATATTTTACAGACCAAAGGGAAGCATATAAGAGAATGTAGGGTTTACGTACACTTTAACATAAAAAGGATTTTTCAGCAAACTCACTTTTGCTAAAATCAGCCCTCTCACCCCCAGAACTTGCCAACAGCAACCAATTCATTACAGAAACAAAAAATGAACAGACCTCAAAGCCCATACCTCTAATAGATAGAAAACTATCAAACACTCCCAGAGCTCAAAATAAAAAAACAATTACTACAGACCCTTTCTACTAAATGTCTACCCTACAAGACTGGCATGGGAGTTCAAACATATAAATAAAAAGAAAAACATATAGAAAAAACCTAAATGCAGCCACGGTTGCATAGGAGTTGAATATATGCGTTTTCTTTTTTAATTTGTATATTTGAACTTCTGTGGAAGCCCTGTAATGTAGACATTCAGTAGCAGGGTTACTCAACCAATCTATTAGCAATATAACAAATTATGTAAGAACATGCAAAATAATAACTAGCAATATTGCAAAAAAGACTACTTACTAATAGGTTGTCTATATGGATGATACACGTGAATATCAAAGGGCCTGTGTGTGGTATTGACCAGCATGGTTCTCCCAGACCCATTATACTTGTTTCCCTTCTCCACTGTTCTGGTGTTCCAGTCAGTCCAATATATTGTGTCTTCAAATACAGTGATTGCAAAAGGGTGTGGCAGAGTCCCATCGAACACTGCATGACGATGTTGGCCATCCAGATCAGAGAACCTACAGGATAGTAAGAGAGGGACACTACTGAGGCTAACATCTAACCCACATAGAGCTGTTCACTCAGACTCCTGGCTGCAAAAACCAGGTACAAACAGTGGCAGATTAAAACAACATAATACCAATAAAACCCTCATGGTGTTCTGTTTTAATGCAGGTAATCCGATTAGGCAGATAAAGGTTTGGACAAAAAGTGCTATTACATAACATTACATTGTACTGAAACAGAGATATCACATCAGCGATAAAGTTCTGTAAAAAAAGCAGCCTAGAAGTGGAGAATTTACTGGCCAAGAACACCAGAAATGTCATTATAATAACAGGCAATACTTTGTTTGGGCTTTACCCTACCCCGCTTGGGGAATGTTTACTTCTAAATGACAAGAATAACAAGCTGGGTGCAACAGTCTCATGCATTACCTTAAAACCCATTTATTAATTAAACAATGAAAATGTATACACTCACAAGAGCCATAAAGATATGAAAGTATAGGAGATGGAAGTCCAATATAAAACCAAGGCTTCACTCTTGTTTCTACTGCTCAGTGAGGCCTTAGGTTGTTATTGTTTCACTAACATTATAAAAATGATTTTTAGCACCACCCCCTTAGGAGTCGCTAGAAGATTTGGGTCCCCCTATAGTCATGTACAGCCAGGCAATCTGCATTCTCCACAAAAGCTTGCATTCAAAGTCAGAAATCAGTCCTTGAGCTTTTGTTTTGTTGTTTATTGAACGGATTTAGAACTGGGATAGGGTAAGGGGTGTATAGGATGCACAAGGGAACCGAACACTGAGGACAAACTTCCTGGAACTATTCACAAATTTTTCTTTGTAGTACAGTCTCTGTTGGAAAGCTAGCCATTGTCTCCACAATATACCACCCCAGACCCTAGATTAAATTCTCCTCTTCACCCAGCAATCTGGAGGTTCTCCTGAGCAGGAGATCTGGCTCCTGTCCCTTTAACTAGTTGAATAGTCACTAGGGGAAATGGGGAAATATCTTAGATTGGTTAGGACCCCTCAAAACCAGCCGGATGTTTTATCCCACATTACTCTGATATAAATTAAATAAAGTAAGTAATCATCTTGGATTCTACCACCATTGGTGTGGCACTTCCACT